GATGATAACCTGCTCCCATATGGCTACTCCCCAGCATTGCTGTTTACAAGAAGGGCCTGAGCCGGCTTTACTTCCTGAGGAGGCTCAGGTCCTTCAATGTCTGCAACAGGATGTTGCATATGTTTTATCAGTCTGTTGTGGCGAGCACCCTCTTCTTTGCTGCGGTGTCCTGGGGTGCGGACATCAAGGCAAAGGACGCCAACAGACTCAACAAACTCATTAAGAAGGCTGAGTCTGTTGTTGGCTTGAAGCTTGTCACCCTGGAGGAGGTGGTGGAGGAGAGGATGCTGGCAAAACTGCTGGCAATCATGAACAATCCCTCCCACCCCCTCCACACAACACTGGACAAGCTAAAGAGCAGCTTCAGTAACAGACTATTACCACCATCTTGCAACTAAAAACTAAAAACTTTGCACCTTACCTACCGTTTTATCTTTTATCTTTTTTTTATATTTTCCATCCAAGTATTTTATTCCATTGTTGTATTTTATTCTATTGTAGTTTATTCTAAGTATTTTATTCTATTGTTATATTTTATTCTATTGTATTTTATTGTATTTAAATGTACCTGGCTGCTATAATGACCCAGTTTCCCTTCGGGGATTAATAAAGTCTGTCTATCTATCTATCTATCTATCTATCTATCTATCTATCTATCTATCTATCTATCTATCTATCTATCTATCTATCTATCTATCTATCTATCTATCTATCTATCTATCTATCTACACATTCTTGAAGATGCACTGTAACAGCTGGGACACTTCTTCTCTTTGCATGACCTTATCCTCATGGCAGTGGAGCTGAATTCTGCCTCAGCATGACTGTCTAAAGCCAGACAGACAAATATTGTTACACAGGCGGACACTTACCACCATAAAGCGCATGATAGAGGTCATGCATTTCATCCCATCCATTTTATGTTATCCCCGGCAGAGGAAGGGCACAGGATGGTAAGCTTAGTTCATAGCGTCATAACACCATACCCATAAAGGTGACATATAGAACACGGGCAGAGAGCCCTCTTCATTACGTGGTGAACTTCAGTCAATACAGACAGTTAGTGCACGATGGCTGACAGAGCATTAGGCAAATTTTGTACGTGGAATCCATTATGATGAGAGGTCAAACATGTAGTCCTGTTAGAGGGCCCCGCCCATTTTAGTGAAATGAGAATTATAATACATTTTCATCATTTTTCATTCTAAATTCAATCTCTCAGCTCTTCTCTCTGCTGGAATGTGATTTAATTGTGCTCAAATGGACATGTTTACAGCGAGGCTTTAATGGTTCCACTGCTGATGGTTTCATGTATCCTTAATCATTACTGTAAAATTCACTTGAGAGCATCACAGAGCAGATAGCACTGTAGGGTTTTATTCTCTGCCATCATTCTTATGCTCTGTTTCCCATTACAGAACCATTATCCCCACAGTACTGAGCCTATTTTGTGATGAACTATGTTTTAGCTGACATTTGAGACCAAAGTCCAAATGAGTTTTTAGAAACAACTGTAGATGAACAGTTTTCTTGAGGTGTAAGACTTTTCTACGGCTTTTGGAGTCTGTAGGTTGTGAATGTAGACTGTTTCTAATTCCAAGCCAAGTAATTACCTAACAGTAATTCTTTTAAATCTTGAACCCAGATCTGGTAACCTTTTTCATGATAATGAAACAGGTTAAACTACCAACTACTTGTAAATAATAGAAAATGTGACACTAACATGGGAAAATGTATGAGCTTTAAAATTAAACACAAAATGAAACAAACTATGTTTATTATGTGCATCCAAAATAACCCACATAAGAACTGTGCAGATCATGTAACCGCGCTGCTAGATTGAAGACACACCATTTTCAAAAAAGGTCAAAATTGGTGGAGTATAGATATGCTGACTCTAGCCCCTAGTATGTCAAGTTCCAAAAAGTCTGAATTCTACATTGATTTCATTAGACTCCCACTACCAGTGTCTTCTAAACATCCTCTCAATCAACATAGCCATCCCTAGAACAAGGCCCCTAGCGTGTGTCAAATGTAAATAGGGGAGTGGGTAGTGTAGAGTGAGAGGAAGAAATAGTAATGGTAGATGAGAGAAGGACAAAGTGAAAAGACCAAGAGGGAAAATGAGAGAGGAGCCCTTCTTCCCACTCCAATGGGAACCTATTTTAATAGCTGCAATCAGTCAGTGGTAGAGCTCTGGCTGGAAACAGAGAGACAGAAAGGATGGAGGGAACATAAAACAGATTGTGGGAAATAACAGCATGAGGGCATAAACACAGGAGTCATGTCAAAGCGCAGTTTTAAAATACCACCATTTACTGCTGGCAGATGCTAAAACAGGCATTCCAAAGCAGGGGGAAAATGCAGTGCTCAAAACTATCTGTATTTTATACATACAAGTATCTGGTTATAGAGGGAACCTTCATTTTTTGTGATCAAAGCCATACGTCTAAAAGAACAGATTCCATGTGTTGGTGTATAAAAACTAAATTTGTAAGTCAGCATCACTGAGCATATCTCATGATGATGTAATTAGCATAGAGAAAGCAAGTGCCTCTGGAGAAGACAATACATCATCTACGCTAATCTTTGATTTAATTGAATGGAAATTGCTCTTCAGTGTGGTCGTCACAATGATGACATACTGTATATTATCCTGCAGATGGCAGCAAAGCCTTTTAAGAAAACAGGTCTCAGTTTTCTTCTGGCGGGGAAGCAGAATTCAGCAAAATCTATCTATCCATCTATCTATCTATCTATCTGCTTGTCCTTGTCCATCAATGTCTTATCAGTGTTTCTTCATCCTGTGTTCAAGCTATGATAGCAACATTCAGTGATCATGATTTGACAAGTAGATAGAGTAGATCCATCACATGCACTTGGTATACCCTGAGGTAAGAAGAGATCCTGCTGTCTCTGCATTTTATTTATTTATTATTGCTCCTTGGCTGCTCATTTACATCATCGAGATCTCAGCGCAGAGAGCTCTTTCCTCTGTGAATCAGTAGGCATGTGGCATGGTACCCCTCTGACACCTTTACTATTCTGGATGGAGTTCAAATGTCGGTAAATCTCTTATTATAGAAGGTGGTCATAAACACCTAATGGTCTGTCATGAATATTTTAGAGCCCTGAATATCATACAGAAATGACCTCTGGAAAACCACAACCTTAACAAGGCACATCTCAGACAGATAACCTCCACAGCCGGTGCAACACGAGGCCCCTTTCCTGGTCCTTTTGGCTTTTTTCTTGGCATGATTGGATTGATTTGTCATTTGCAACAGAAAGAGCTTGGCCACGGGGCTGTGGATAATCCAATTTATCGCTTTGCCATTTATTACAAATTTCTGTGGCTTTTGGGTCCACTGTCACATCGATTCGTTGATTGCTTGCTTAGCTGGGTCCTAATGAGCTGCTGTCTGAATCACTGCATAATCACCGCCCTAATTCACTTCCTCGCCTGCCCTCACACTTGGTCTGTTGGCTCGCCACTATTAGAAAAGAATGGACTAAAACACAGCTCTCTGTCAGACAATTAGTAACATCATCCTTGAAACAGGGTGTCATTCTGCGTGTATTACCCTTTAATAAATGACAATCCTCTCAGAAAGTTGTCACAAATTGCTGTTTCAGGTGACAAGAAGCTCATTGGCACATCATCTGCAATTGATGTATGTGTGAATCAAGGAGTCATTAACAGTGAGGTCTTAGGAGAAACTTGAGATAATGGGACAGTTCACAAAACCACCATTACATTCTTTGGTCTAAATGCTTAGAATTGAAGCAATGGAAACACTTACACAAGATTAAGGCCCTCAAATTAGAGTACAAATATTTTGTACCTGCAAGTACCAAGTAGTTGAAATAATGACTGTATAGTTAATGGTTGGTACAAAGGAATAAGTACAGAAATTAAGCAAATTAGCACAAACAAATTCATGCATAGAGGGTTCCTAGAAATAAGTTACACTGTCAGTAAATGAAAGCATATCTGCATACTGCATGCATACCTTGAAAAAGTGGTTAACAAAAGACAGTTTTATTTCACAGCCTGGATTCTCTGTAACTACAAATATCTAGGGAGAAAAAGAGGTCAACATGGAACTAGTTTATAGCCGGTATAGCATGTAACTATACTATATCTAGAGACAAAGGGGTGAGCTTTCCTTTCCAGCTTGCGTACCCTGGGCTTACATTGTAACAATGAAGTCTTCTCACCCATTTTCAGTGTTTTGTCTTAATTATTGTGTGCACACAACAGCAATTACATCATGGATACTTTTAAAAAAAGGACAAAACAAAGAAGAATCGTTCATTTAATGTTTATGTCCTTCTTAAACACTAAGTTGTTACACCTATACTTTTCTGTTATCGTACTGTTACTGGAACAAGTTTGTCTCATCATAGTTACCCAGTAATTCTTTTATAGATGCCCAGAATATACACTGTAATTTGTTGGCTGTAATCTAAAGCTATAGTGTAAGGCAAATACAGTAAGGATTGCTACCAACATTTTCCTTTCATTTGCAGACATTTTACTTTGAGGTTATCAAATATCTGAAGAGCCTCAGTTGAGGATGGATGGGAGAGCAAATATCACCAGGTGAAGGTTTACCTCTGCGCCAATACCAGCCTGTCTGTGTGGCATTTATCAAAGCTTGAAGAGGGGCTTAAGGACACTTCGGGATATGTTTGTGAAGAGGCTGGTGGACAAATATAGAAGGGAGCTAATCAAGCCATCTATCAACAAAAGAAGTGCACCATCTGTGTGCTTCATCACTTGTCCTGCAAGCCCTTGTAGCAAAGATTTTTCAATGCAGGTTTCAGTGTAATGACTGATGTATAAATAATTGCCGGTGCAATTGAAGTATTGTAGTTAAAGGACTCTTACCAGTGATGCGCATATTAAACACAGATATGGATATAGATAGACAAACAATCAGACATGAGGAATCACACCATCACACTGAATCAGCAAATAATCACAGACTAAATGGTTTTCAGACAACATTTCTTTAATACAAAGTCAACATATCTACATACACAGTGGCTTTAAACCAATTATTGTTTCAGTTAGAAGTAACAGTTTGAAAGTGATAGCTCTTGGCCCTCATACAAAGGAAAAACTATTTTGCTGAGTTTGGGTTCTTTTTCATTTTGTCGGTACTGTTTATGTTCTATTCTTTTTGATGTCATTTTTTGTTAGTGTTGTTTTTTTGTTAGTCCCCCCCACCCCAACCCTTCCCGCAACATATTCCAGTAAATTTGGCGGCTGTTTTCAAAAGTCTAGCATCTTTACATGAAGTCAAAAGAGTAACACATTGCACAAGCTTCCAAAGACTTCCACGATTTCAGTTTTGGCATGGGCCCATTTTATCAGTCTTTTTGAGTTCCAAAAGACTTCAGTTCAGGATTTTAGTTCATTGTGAAACATCTCAAGGTTCCCACTGTTCAGAAATGACGTGCTGGAAATGTGAATTTGCAGCAAGTTTTTGGTTGTCTTGGTCTTCCCTTGGTTGCATCGCACTGCTCTGTTTCATTGAGTCCTGATTTCTTTCTGCATCCCACATTGACACATGGCTGAACAAAAACACACAGTATGGATCTATACAACACTTAAAAATGCAACAGGGAGAAAGTAAATGAAAAATGTCATGTTGCAACTGAACTATTTATGGCCTTTAGCATAGCTGTATTTGTCCGTGAACCAATGACATATATTTAACACCTTGGCATTTTAGGCAGTTGGACAGCTGGGGACCTTCTGGAGATTGGTGAGAAAAATTTAAGGGAACAAGAACATCTTTGGGTGCCATTTTCTCACAGAAGTTGAGAAATTAAGAATCTACACCTTTGTAATTACTTTTTTGTTCATTATTTAATCAGAATACGTTTTTAAACCTCTTTGTTGCTTTAGTGATGTTCCAAGGGAAAAGTGTGCTAATGCCAGGGCAGGAAAAAGTTCTTGTCCACATTGAAAAAGAGAATGTAACAAGACATTGAATTGAATTCTGATTACCAAAGCAAATGGTTAGTTGGTAGAGTGGACTAAGTTCCCAACCTTAGCTAAATTATACCAGCAGATCACTGATGCTGATTTCGAGTCTTCATTGAGGCTATAGGTGTGAGCTGGCTTGTTTCCCAGTTTAACTGCCAGCAGGGGAAATTAAAGGCAGAAAAAAGCAAGTGGTAATTAAAGACCAGGGAGCAGGGCTGGAGAAAGAACATCTCAGAAGGAGAGAAAACAGGCTTTACAAACACCAGGAAGTCAGATATGAGCAGAACCTCGATCTTTGTAATTCTGTTCCCACTTGAAGTATGAGATCTTGAGGGTCAAATGATACAAATACATATAATCTATATATTTGTTTATTTACAGGTATATTCTAGATCATATTGGATATCTAACAAAATGAATGACCACATTATGTCTGAAAATAATAAAAGTTAAAAAAAAAAGAGAAAGAACTTAAAGAATTTTCTTAAAAACTGTGAGGGTCATAGTCTGTACATGATTATACAAGGTACAGTATGTCAAGTTGGGCTGACATAGATAACAAAAAGTTCAGTTATGAAATTTTTGATTGATATTTTGTAGACCAGTTCATCATTCAACAGTTGCTCAAAAAAACAAAAGAATACTAATGCCTACAAGTTAATGATAATAAAGAATCTCAACAAGGTTTAAAAATGGCGTCTCCTCATCGGCACAGGATCTACCCAGGGGCAGAAGTTGAATTGGTGAGTGGAGGCAGAGGATTCAGGCATAGCGCTGACATCACCTCAGCTTTTTCTTAAGAAACACACAAGGTTTCTAAGATTACAAAACAAAAACAAAAACAAAAAAAAAAACACACAAACAAAAAGAAATTAATAAAAAGTCATCAAAAACATGAGCACTGGCTGGTATAAAAAAAGATGATGAGGAGAAAAATTTAATTAATACCAAGTTTCTGGATATATCTTTATATTCTGCATTTAAATATATATGCATGTGTGAGTGTGCAGTATATATGTACGCAAATACATATATGCACACATACACACAGACATGTTATACTTAACATTTCTACAGTGAAAAAATAGAATGTCTTTAAACGTAATATGAACAAATAAGCATTTCTCTTTTCCTGCTAATTTAAAAAAAATGTGATACAACATCTCTGTTAAAAAACTAAACCAAAAAGAAAATAAAAAGTCAACTATGTAATGTAAAATAAGTCGTCATAATACAACAATAATGTTTTCATAATGTTTCATAATGTAACAATAAGGCTTTTTTGGAAATAAGAAAAGATTACACACAGTTCTGTCCATCGCTCTTGTTTTTGTGCACACCCATCGGAAACCTTCACAGAATCCGTACACTCATCTGTACCAAAAGACTGATCTCAAAATGAAAACCTGGTGATCTCAAAAGCTTAATTTTTTTTTTTTTTTTATCAGACACATATACATTAGTGCGTCAAATCCAACCTGCAGTCGTTTTTAGAGTATTTGTTTCAAGTTTCTTTTCTTTTTTCTTAGGGATGTGCAAGTAACTTGTACCGAAGAATTTCATTATCACATCATGGCATTGAGATCCAACATGGCTGCCTGGTCTGGCTGTGGCATCCACAGAGACATCATCTATAAAACAGACAAAAACCAAAGCAACTACTTTGTTTATCCACCTTTTACCAAACACACATACTGTGGAACTAAAGGCCAATTTTTCAACCACATGAACGTACAGCTTTGTAATTGCAACAGGCCTCTGCCACTCTTGAGTGTCTTATACAATGAAATAGATGATTATAGAGGAGGCTGGAAAAAAAAAAAGGAGAGGTGGAAAAGACTGGTGGACGATGTTGTCATGTGGATGCACTTTCAGTCATGCCTGCCTGGGCGTGAGCGGTTAGCAGAGCTGGCATCTTTTGTTCGTCAGTTTCCTCTCCCTCAAGAGTCACACGTACAGCATACACGAGATAAGCAGCATGTTTGGTTTCGACAGAAAATTAAAAGAAAAAAAGATAATTCCTCATAAGACAAACAAGTTCAAAACAATGATGATGAGCGTTGGTCACTGTACACAAAGAGAGCCCCAACTTTGCGGCAATCCTTGTTTGGTTGTTCCGTTAGTTCCAAAGCTTCTCACCCACCAGATTTATCTCTTGTTCAAAATGGTGGATGTTAACACCGAAGCCCCATGATGCAATGGTTCCAAAGAGAGGAGTGATTGTAAAAAATCATGGGACACGGTTGCCATTTCTCCCACTTCGACGATCCACAAGACGACCGAACCAAATCTTCTTGTTACAGACAATGATTTCCTCCCGATTTCTCTGATGACTGAGACAAGAGCCTCCTGGGGCACTTTTTAAAATACACTGTGGTACTTTTCAACATCACTGTGGTTACCTGGCTTGGGATACTGATTTTACACAAGATCACAATTCATGAAACTAACTGATCTTAAGATATGTGTTGCTGCTTTCTTTTCCCCGACAACCACTGACAGTGCCTTCTCTGAGCTCTTAGCGCTTGAGAACAGGCAGTTATGTGATGTATACTTTAATAGTTGAGTGTTTTTCCACACAAATTATGCATATCATTAGTGGGACAGTGTAAAAAAACTCAAGGCTTATTTGATGCCAGATGGTAGTGTTCTCGTGCTAGTTGCATTTCCACTGTTTAGATTTTTTTGTCTCACCAGTTTGGGGAAAAGCCATTTGTGTTCACACAGGCAACCACAATTTCTGGATATCACTCACAAAATGTGTTGATAGAAATACTTGAACTCCCTTTTACAACCGGGCATATCAAAAAAACAAGAAAGTTACCCCATCTTGGCTACATCCATCTGCCTCTCATTGATTTTTGCTGTTGCCATCTCCTTCATTATCTGTTGCTTGTTACCGTTGTATCACGAAGATATTTTGAGAAGAGAAATGTCCACGAATGTTTACAATGTCCTCCACATTGAAACACTTGAGGTAAGGTAAGCAGTCTGACACTTTGATCGATTCCTGCCCCACAGCTTGAGCCACAGCGTCTGGTTCCTCCCCTGATGAGGATTTTCTTTTCTAGATGTTGGGCAATTTCATGAATTTCTCATGAAGAGTCTCTTAGTCAAATTGGAATTATTCTTAACTGGTTGGCTGGGCGTTGTCTTCTAAAAATCTACAATAGGATCCTGTTTGGTGTGTCTGAATTGATGATGGTGTTATCGTCGTCTGCTGTCGTCGTTTCAAATTTCAAAGTTTCTATGGCTCAGGAGACTGTTGAGGGGGGCGACAGGATTCTGGGGGAAGAGATGGCTTTTTACGTTGCATAGTGATCAAAGCTTCCTAAATACTCCAGAGCTGCGTGATAGCAGAATTGGTACTCATCCTGTCGGGAAGAAACACACAAAAAATATATCAGAAAATTATAATTTGCTATGATAATGAGAGAATTAACAACTTCTAATTAAAACAAATTACAGCACTTATTGAGGCAGACTAGGTCCTCACAAGACAATATTATAGATTAGATAACTGGTTTATCAAACATACATTACATACAGATTGAGACAGCTATATTATGGTGATTTTAATTTAATTAACTTGCTACATTTTTGGCACTTAACCTCCAAACTACATTTAACTATAGTACAATTACATGTTCCCCAAAGCTAGAAGCAGTGTATGTTTTTATGGGTGTCAGTGTGACCTCTGACCTCAGTCTGGACCATTGCTGGTCTCTGTGTCCGGAGCATCTTCACTGTCTGGAAGATATCGACCACGCCTTCATAACGCATTCGTTCCAGGACGATGCTGAGGGTGATGAAGACTCCAGTCCTGCCCACGCCAGCACTAGAAACACATAATGACAAATAAATGAATAGGGCCTGAGGTCCTCTCGTCCCTTACATGTACAGTATGTTACTTTATAACTAGCTTAGTTTGGGACCTGCAAAATAACGGTCTTCTGTAAATAATTTTGAAAGCCATATTTCCTCTAGAATGGATGTTATATCTACAATAAGAATTTGTTGTACAGCTACACATTTGGAGCTCTGAGTGCCTTAGAGAGTCAACCATTTGAAAACATTGATAACCAAAATTCCTGTGGCAGGGCAACGCAACAGTGACAACGGCAAGGACTGTGTGTCCATTTTCTCGTCGAACACAAAATAAGCGATCAAGGACACACACAAATCACACGCACAAACAACCAAACATTTTGTCTCCTTAAGCCCCTCCCATGTGTGGAAAAAGTCATCCTGCTGCTGCTGCTCTCCAGAAATACAGTCTGAGTCTTAACTCAGATCCTGAAATACTTGAGAGCTGCCTCTCTAAGCTGCTTTGCTGTGAAATGACTTCCACTTCACCAATGGAACAATAATTGATATGACAACAGATTTATTTGGGCTTCTTCCAGCCTCCGATGCTATTTTGTTGAGTGAAGAGTGAAAGGAATGGCTGCTGGAAGACACTTTTGGTTTGTGTGTGCGAGTGTCTGTATGTGCCTGCAAGTGTGTGTCTGTGGGGGAAGCTAGACTTAAGACAAAAGATGACTTATATCATTTGACAATAAATTAAATGATATCGAACACAGTAGTTATTGAGTCTAATCATGGAGAACATGCGACCACCCACTACCAACCCCCACGCCTCAGCATCTCTGAGCCCACCCAAAGCTTCTTCCAGGGAGTCGGTCACAGCTTGTCACATGGACTCTTAAACTCACTTAGAGCGCCTCTCTCTGTGTCTCTCTATGTCTCTCTCTCTCTCTCTCTCTCTCTCCCTCCCTCCCTCTCTCTCTCTCTCTCTCTGTCTCTCTCTCTTTCTCTCTCTCTCTCCAGGAAGATCGACTCTCCAAATCTGAAGGCTCGCCGAGCCGCTGCAGACTGAGAGGATTTGGTGTCCCCATTCACAGGAAGTAATCAGGCAATTAATGACAAAAAGCATGTGGGTCTATTAGATAGTGGATGAAGAGGGGAGAGGAGGAGTGAAGAAGAAAAGAGGGTGGGAGTGGAAGAAAGGAGGGCCGGGAGAATGGACGGGGTGGATGGAGGGGAAAAGAGAGGGAGAGAGGATTAATAAATAGACAGAGGGATGACGGACAAGGAAGGCCGGCGACAGAAGAAAAAAGAGTAAGAGAAAAGGAAGGCATAAGCTCTCCTCTTGGAGATGAAAAGCCTGAAGGAGGAGGGAGGGAGGTAGAGGAGGAGAATGATAGGGAGTAGCAAGAGGTAGTGACAGACAAAGAAAACCGACCAAAGCTTTTTTTTTTTTTTACATCACTACTCATGAGAAACTTCTTTCCCAAATTAGATATGTGCATTAAGACAAAGTGACACCTACTCTTAAAAAAAAAGACTTAAAAATTAACATTATTTATAAGGACTGCAGGTAACTTAAGTACCCGATTAACGGCACACAATTCTGATGATTTACTACACTATAGGCTGTAGAATTTCTGTCTTAATCCTCTTATGATGTTTCAAAAATCAAAGTTCACTGAGATGTGTCAAGGATGCTTTAACTGTGCATTTGGCAACTGGATATAACACAGTCACGTGACTCTTGCAGTCCAGTTTAATAGGCTGTGTGCCTTTTTGTCCATTACTCCAGTCCTGCAATTCCTTCTGCAATAACCAATCCTTTTGCTTTAAGACTGCTCTCTCCCTCTCCAATAACGGCCTCATAGAAGGGAGGAATAACTCAGTCTTATTGGAGCTTCCCTGACACATTGTACAACTCCCTGGGGCCCATTTGATGGCTAGTGACATCATTGCTTTTTAATACAGGGGAGGTAATGTTATGTTTGATGATGTCATGGCGCCTGTGCGATAAAAAAAAAGTGACACCTACTCTGTTCCAAAAGTAAACCATGTTTATGAGACAGCAAGGAAATTAACAACCATTGTTTGTTACCGCTAACATTCAAAGGAACAGTCATATCTCTAAACCTTTTTCTTAATGCCAATCAAACCATGAAAAAACATGTATAATGGATCACACACAGGTAAGTGTCTTTGTTAAAGGAATCCCTAGACATTTCTTTTTTTTCTTTAGTTGTCTTGCAGAGCGAAAACAGGCCTATCAAAGATGTCTATTGTCCCTCAAGGTGTATTGATGAATAGGAATATCTGAGGTCTTAGTGGTGACCACTACCAAAAAAAAAATTCAAGTTAATGCTGAAGGTTACCTTGGAAGCTACACCCGAGGTGATGAAAAATGCATCACGGAGCTATCATAAAACCCAAAAAGAATGGCTGTATCACTTCATGTGCCTCCTCTTTGCAAATGCCAAGCCGCATCTCTGCCTTATCAATTATGGAGGAGATGGGCCTGTGGAGGTGCAGAGGTAGTGTACTGCGGTGGCAAAAAGGAGAGGAGGGATCGTATCTGATGATGCTGTTGAAGCTACACCTCAGGAAGTGCTGTGCTGCAAAACAATAACCACCTTAAAGAAGTGATTTAATCTAGTCTTGATGCTTAAAGCCTTATATCTGTGTCTTTGGAGTGCAGTTTGAGGCAAACATGTTGCAGTGCCTGGAAATACGACATATCCCGCCACTCTTTTCAGCATATATGTTTTTTAACAAAAAGTACCATACATTTTGGATAAAAAAAAAGAAAATGTGGTGCAACATGACAGTGAGATGGCCCCTTACCTGCAGTGGACAGAGATCGGTCCATCCTGTCCAAACTGCTCCTTGGTTTTATGCACTTGGCCAATGAAATCAATGAACCCCTCCCCGGATTTGGGCACGCCTTGCTCAGGCCAATCAGTAAACTGGAACTGCCTTACTGTCCTGGACTGGCCATCCTGCAAAAATGTTGAAAAGAAAGTAAGGACAGGAGATAGGGATTGTTGATCATGTTATGAAGCATGAGGAGGCATAGAGAAGAGAGGGGAGGAAGCATATGTAAAGAGCGATGGAAGAGGAGATAAAGCAAAGGCAATGACTCTCTGGAAAAAAATGAAAATGAGTTTCAATCACACCCACCCACCCAACCCATACTCCTGCTAAGAACATAATGGAATTGAAGCAAGACTAATAAAAGGTCTATAAGGCAGTAAAACATACTAATTGTCCCTTTAAAATGAAATAGCATTTGTTAAAACAGCACAGATGAACGTACAATGTCACATACATCTTAGCAAAGAGGGACAGTGTGTCCTCTCCTCTCCCACCCCACTCCCCTACCGCCAACCCATTGTCTCTATTTTCTCCTCTGCTGAGTTTTTTGTCTGTGTGTGCCGCAACGAGTAGGTCCTAGTTAAAGCTAATCAATAGTGTATCTACCATGACAAGCGTCTTCTCCCAGACACCATGTTGAATAGGATAATCCTGCGATGCGATCGATAGAGCAACCTGATGGATGAGCGGAGCGATGGAGGTAAGAAGCAAGAACGAAGGACTAACGGAGGAGGTAGGATTAGACGATGAAAATTGAAAACAAAAACCCTGACAAGTCTGCTAGACAAAATGTCAATCTCAACAATTTAATCTTATATCGATTCTTATAATCTTGTTTTAGTGGTCCACTTGTTTCCAACGCAAACAAAAACATTTAAATACATTTTTACAATCAGTGAAGTGATCTGCTGTATTTTGAGTCTGGTAATGCAACACTTGTTTGTCGTGTCCTTGTCAAGAAAGTTCTTGGAGAATACATTTCTCATGAAACCGAGCTGAGTGAAGCATTTTTGCAGTTTGAGACGGGCTGCCTGCTTGATGCCATTAGCAATTAAGACAACCAGGTGTTCATTTCTCCAGTCGTTTCTCACTTCTCTGTGCAACAGACTTGAGTTTAGACATGATGTGTCATTCTCACACATTCTGGTCCCATTTGTTCACACTGCAAAGGCACAATTTGATTAATACTCAGTTGGCGAGTAAACTGGGATCTAGTTGTCCTTTTTGTTATCCTGCTATTAGATGGTGTAGAATTATAGACCCGGAAATTAGAGTAATATTGTCGAAATTGTTATAGAATACATGTCATTTACAAGAAGGGGAACTTCACTGAGAAATATATATTTACACCTTTGATACGATTCTTGAAAAAAAACTTGTTTGAGGAGCTTGTTTAATAATGGTAAGTTATATTCATGCACAGAGCCAATGAATTGGTAAATAGATGGAAATGTAACAATTAATGTGTATGTGATTGGCTTTATACTGCTAGAAATTTGGATTATAGCAGTTACAATTGTCTGCTGAAGTAGATGCATCAAGCGAATGGAGGTGCTCTTCTATTCTGAAGAATTAATCATACAACTGCGGATTACTGACTGCCCACACTGGCTGTTGGGTAAAAACAGTAGGTAATAGTAAATTTTCCCTGGTTTCAAGGTATTATTCAGCCTAGCAAGCACACATAATGGATGATTGGGGATGAAAATAATATAATGTATGGATGGTACAGAGTCCTGGTAACCCACAAAAATCTTGTGTAACAGGTAAATAATATATTTCTGTTATTTTACAAGTACGGGGCAAAATGAACTAGATGCGGGTGGGCAGTGGGTGAGAACAAAAATGTGTTATTTTTTTTTAGAGAAATCCAAAATGAAAATGACATCAGCTAAATATTATCAAGCCTAATCAGCCGCCAGGATTTTTTTTGTTTTGTGAAAGCTGCTGCACGAGCTCAGGTGCTGTGCCAGGAACCCATATACATTTCCAAGAACACAACTCTCAAACTGCCAAAAAAAGGAGGACTAACTCAGTTAGTGGTAAAGTCTGTGTGCCGGGACATAAGATCATTTGAAATTGTGTGTGGTGATGGATTCAGCAAACTGGCACAGGACTTGACTGACATCGGTGCTCAGCTGGGCCTGTGGACGCCACAGCATTATAGTGAGTGGCAACACAGTTGGTGATTGATTCAGCCTAATAGACTATGGTTAATGATGTATTTAAATTATTGTTTGTACATGTTACAGTTCTAATTGTGCAAGTAATCTGACTGTGTGTGTAATCAAGGGTTGGGACTCATATCAACAAAATATTTGCAAACCATGCAGAACTCGGGGAAGGTGTATCGAGAAAACACTACAAAAAAAATGTTCTAAAGCTTTCCTAATCTGTTGCTCTGTGTTAAAAAGACATACAACATACAGAGTTAATAATAAATGTGTTGACGTGAACAAGTACCTTAGGCTCTATAATCATCATGGGTGTTGTCATGGTAGCTGCGCTACCTTCTAATTCATTCATTCATTCTGATTTTTGCCACATGCTCTCCCTCCCACTGCTAGCATGCTATGGTTGCAGATGGTTACTGAATGCTGAATGTACAACACATGCAGCTATTGTATGTCGAAGGATATGCATAATCGGTCTATTTAATCCTGTTGCTCTAAATGTAAAGTCCTGTTGTCCTGTGTGCCAGTATGCACCGTGTTGTTCCTTAGCTGCTGATATATTTCTGCACCAATGCTGCCAAGATGTATTCACGTACATTTTATTGTACTTGACAAATACAGTGATATGGATTCTAATAAGTTAAGCTTGATGTACCGCCTCTCTTTGTACAACATATCATGTCTCTTTCCCTGTTTTATGACGCATTGCATGTTTTCTTTCTTTCGTTGCCATTGTTTTTCATCTCAAAAACATTTTGCCTCAGCAGGGGGATTAAAAGTGAAAGAGGGGCAAAGACAACAACACAATAAACCAGGCACGCCAAAGAAAAAGAGGAGAGAAAAAAAGGAAAATTTAACACACAACCTGAGGGCCCACACGGCGTGTCAAATTGTGTGATTAAATACGTGACTGGCTCGCTAGATGTGAGTGTTGAGGCGTGGAGTCTCTGCTATTACTGCGCAGAGGCATGCAACGTACGCGCAAATACACACACGCACACACACATTCTTAATCTTTCATATACAAACACATAAACATGCAGTACATCTCCGTAATCTATGGTATGTGGGGTAAAACCCAGTTACATACACCCTCAAATGCATGCATTTTCAGTAATATGGCGTTAAAAACCTACATATCTACACACACAGCAGCACATACGCTGCTTCTTAACAATTTACACCAACCTAATCTCCTCTTTTACACCTCCATATATCTTATCTTTACCATCATCTTTCTCTCTCTCACTCTCTCTCTCTCTCTCTCTCTCACTCTCTTGCGCTTTCTCGCTCTATGTTTCCTTAACTCTGATCATAAGCTGTGAATGCTTTGATGATTCAGCCCCTTTTAACAATACTCTGAAAGGCACCAACACTGACCAGTGCACTGGACAAATTGTATGTATGTGTGTTCACAAGGGGTTAAAACATAAATTGTGTAAATACCTGTGTGTTGAATGTATATGTTAAAAGATACAAAGGTGTGTGTGTGTGTGTGTGTGTGTGTGTATGTGTGTGTGTGTGTGTCTGTGTGTGAGACAGTATGTGTATATATTTGGGTGTGCATATTTGACCTGAGAATAGCAAATCAGTATGGAAATACCAACAGGATGACTGCTAACTAGCTGCCACACCGCCAAGGAAATCATTGGATATGTCAGCCTGTTTGGCAAAGAGAGGAAGCATTTTTTTTCCTGTGCTACAGTTCTGCTGCTGCTTCAAACTGTCCGACCTAATTGGACCAAAAAAGAAATCCTGAGGTAAAAAGATAACTACAGTAGTGTAGAGTAGGTTATAAACAGTTCGGGGCAAGAAAAGTCACTTTGGTTGTGAACTCATTAATATTTGAATGAAGTTACTTTCCACATTAAGTCATCCCGGTATCTTGTTTTGTGTGGAAACCCATCTAACCACAGAGCAAAATTACAATATCAAAGCCATTTTTTGAGGAAAGAAAATATGATCTACTTGTGATGTTTCTGTGTTTATGTGGCCTACTTTTCCTTAACCTGCTTAATCTCCTACATTTCCCACACTCCAGTGAAGGGTGGCATCGACAGTGCAATTGTGGAAATTACAGCATAATTTGCCACTGGATTGAATTGCGGTCTTTTGAGGTTACTGAGAAAGTGGTGTCTCTGTATACTGTATGATTATTCATGAGCGATACACTGGTTCTGTATTGAACGTCATTATAAAATGGAGAATTTATTGTAACTACTTCTTGCTCTTTGAATCTGAGTGGCTGATATTGAAAGTTTAATATATCCTAGTGATGTTTAAGACAACAATTAAGTACAAACTTACTTTTAGCTGTGTAGGAAAATAAATGGAAATAATACATTGTTTTTATCTCAGTTTTTTGTGTAACTTCCCAACTTTTTCCGAACAAAATCCTAGTAATTACTGTTACTAAAAATGTTCATGATTACACTGGTCTTTTTTGTTGATTGTTCCCACAACCAAGACCCTCAGGTATGTCTTACCCTGGCGTCCGTGACCTTGAACTCTCTGAGGATGTACTGAGGCATGTTGTATTCTGCCATGGGATCAACCACAAAGTACTGGTACCTGGCAGAGCGCTCTGCTGGCCAGTACTGGTGACACTTTTCCTGTTTGAGCAAAAGGGTAAACAAAACCTTTGTTAACATTTTATTTTCCTTTACTATTTGAAACATTGCATCAATGGATAAGAAATAACATAAATCAAATGTTTTCGGCCACGTGTGTTTTGTCCTACCCGTCCCATTTCTCTCAGTTTGGTCAACATGACTACAATAGTAGAGTTGTTCTCCCAGAGCATTCTCCAGAAGTCTTCTGTAGTCTCTGCCAGAGGGCCCTGTGTTGCAATGTAGGCCTTCTGTTGCCTGTAAACAGAAAACCATATTAAAGTCCTTTATGTCTACTATAATTAATCAGTCATTTTAAACACCACTGATGCAAATTCCTGTAGCAACACTTAAAACGTTCTTGCTGAGGCTGATTTTTGAGGAAGACAGTGATTTTACCTTGGGGATCGCAGAGACAAAAAAGCTATGTGTATACATTTGCTGATTGAATTAGGCATCTTCCTTTCACAAATCCCAATTTCCCTTATCTACTCTCTTTTATCTCCACAAAATGTATATTTAAATTCAACCTATCAGAGAGGAACATTTAACAATTCTGTCATGCATTATCACGTACAAGAGTTTTCCTGGCAATAGAAAAGAGAGTAAAGGCATCTATTCACACATGCCTCCTGCTTGCATGTTTCCCACCATCTCACCCGTCTTCCTACCTGTATCCATCAATGAAGCTGGAATTGATGTAGTCGGATCCTTCCAGGCCTCTGATTGGCTGCAGGCAGACGCGCGTGGTCTCGTACGGCATGATGTTGACCAGCCGATTCTTGAACTTGTTGCAGGGAAGGTTGGCACTGATGAAGCGCGACGTGTGGGCTTTGGAGTTGGCCAAACGCTGGAGAGGAAAGATGGAGAAAAAAAGAGTTAGAGTTATGCAAAAAAAAAAAAAAAATACAGAAGGAAAATTGTTACACAGGAAGTGTGGAATGAAAGGTACAAAGGGGGAAGAAGATGAAAAGAAAACGACTAGAAAGTGAAGTTGCAAAAGCCACGGTAGTTACAAAGACGTAAGAAGAGGCATGAAAAGAGAAGAGAGAGGAAGGAAGAGCAGGAGAGGGTGATAAAAGGAGGAGAGACGGGGAGATAAGAAGGGAGGGGAGGACAGGTGCGAGACAGATCAAGAGGAGTATATCAATGACAGAAAGTAATAAAGCAAACCCTGTCTAATCTGCTTTACCGACAATGGCGCAGCTTCAAACGGACATTGTTTATCAAGATTATATTTATCGGAAAGCAATTCAGAAACTTTATCCACTTTTGCTACTTGTGGGGTCCTGCAGGGTCAGATGTAACGATGGAAAATATTCCACACACCCAGAATAACAAGCCTCTGGATCAAGTCTGTACTAAACAGAAAACTCGTCTAAAAGTGGGTCACCAGTGCCTTTGATAATGGCAGTGTGGTATGTGTGCAGAAAACATAGACTCACACAGGAATGTTCAGAAAGACAAATACATACACACACACACACACACACACACACACACACACACACACACACACACACACACACACACACACACACACACACACACACACACACACACACACAGACATACAGACACAGCATAATGATCAAAATGAAAAGCTGTACTGCAACATCATCATTGTCATAGGGACCTCAGTGGGAGTTTGAGGGTCAGCAAGTCTTCCTTTTGGCTTCAATGTCTCAAATACGAATGTGTGTGTGTGTGTGTGTGTGTGTGTGTGTGTGTGTGTGTGTGTGTGTGTGTGTGCGTGCGTGCGTGCGTGCGTGCATGCGTGTGTGTGCGTGCGTTTGCCTGCAAATGGAAGACACCCTGATCAAATTGTTTAGGGCTCCTTTCAGACAGGAAAAAGCATGGCACACCGAAGACACAAGCAGCATAGCAAGAGAGGGAGGAGAGAGAGAGAGAGAGAGAGAGAGAGAGAGAGAGAGAGAGAGAGAGAGAGAGATGAGATGCAGCTGACCTCACTAAAAAGTAGGCGGGAATGCAGATTAAGTTTCCAGGTCTCTCAATGGTTGTCAAAATACACAAAGTGAAAGTGTTTCTCTTTGAATGGCAGCGTGAACAACAAACTCTTGTTCCCATTAGAGTGCTGTCCCCTCTCTCTCTCTCTCTAATTCTACAGCACCAGTATCTCTGTGTCAGTGGCCACTTGGATTAGGTCCAGCCCTTCTCCTCTTCCCTTGCTACTGTCCTCCCTTTGATCTGTGTTTCACAAAGGCACCTGGAAAGGCTTGAGGTGGCCTGGCAGCGCTAAAGAGGACCTCAGCTACACCACCAAACTCTGCAGAGGGTGCAGGGAATGGAGCCAAATCTGGCAACCTGTTATCCAAAAGGGCAGAGAAGCACCTAGGGTACTTCTGCCAGTTCCTTTTCCATTTTGAGTTGGAAGACTGGGAAGGTAAGATAATCTATATTAAGCATGTTTCACCACAACCGGGATAATCATATTTGGTGTTATATGTCAGAACATAGTGCTTACTAAATTGTGATTATTCTCATAACCCGCCCTAACCATAATCTTAAAAAACAATTCAACAATATGTTTTTAATAATATCAGTCCCTAGTAACCAATGCCTTGAGAAGTTCTTGCAAACTCTCATCATCATTTTTATTTTGAAACCGAAAAGCATTTTTGTCTCCTAGTTTGCATTTGGATCCCAATTAAAACTCTGCTACTGAATTCCAAATCATTCCTTTGCTATTTCATTTCACATCGGTCCCAGTAGCCCAGTAGTTCTTTTTTTGGTCTGTGTTGTGATTTGTGTACTGTATGTTGCTGAATACTTCTCCTGCATGGGGGTTATGTGCACAAATGTCTTCTGTGCAAGAATCTGTCCCTGAACATGCTCGTTATTTGTGCACATATGCCAGAAAGGACAAGTCTGACAACTTCATGACAAGTCCCTGTTCTCGGTTCATTCTCCCCGCTGAACTGCTGTGAATTCCACCAGTCATAGCTCAACTCTGCATGACGCCGCTTCCCACCTGAGAATGACAATAGCCTCCCACCCGTCCCTATAGCGCAGAATTCTGTCAAATCACTTCCTTAGTGCCAAGTTAGCATTCAGTCGTCCCTTTGTTCATTAGCCAAACGTTCCTCCCTCCACTTGCCCTGCCATCCACCTCCATTTGTCATCATCAAGTATTAATTACTTAGCTCCCCCACCCCTCCTTCACACACACCTCTCTTCTCTATCCTGACTGTAGTGTGGACGTGATTAATCCCTGTTTGACTCCTGACGCCAGCTCAGCATTATCCCTGTTACAGATGGCGATGGAGATTCCATAAACGTTGTGCGCCAGTGAGTAAAAAAAAAGGTCGAAACACACCAGCACTATTATTGTTCCTTGGCAGGGGGGCTGTGTTGGTGAATGGCGATGGGAAGATGATAGATGATTTGAGAATGAGCGTGTGTGCAATTCAAGGTCAGCAGATACTGACTGGAAGCTGAGGTGAGTTTATAAGTTGATGATTGTTAAGATCTTTAATGGAGATCTATGTAAACCCTGTGCCTGACCGTCTATCCTCACCTATTGCTTTGTCATGAATTTCTCTAAGAAAGCATACACTCTTTCTTTCTTGAACCTTAACTCAAATCCATGCTGCTTTCAGGCAGAATCCTTTGTCTTGTGTCTGCTAGATTAAAACCCAATTTCTTTGCTTAAGCATATTATTCCAAATCCTCCAAAATGAACATTGTGGCCAAACAGTGAGGGGCTTCAGTATTTTCATTTTCTACCTTTGCAACGTACAATTTAAATACTGTGTATCTGTAAGTGATTAAATTATTGAAGTGAGGCTCAAGAATATAAAGGAGATTTGCTATGAGATCCTATTACTTGGACGGCAGGTACAGTATAAAATGACAAATATGTGCAATGTAAATAAGGCTGCTTTAATCTATATTGTACTTACCTGGGGCTGAAAGGTATAACATCTTCTAGAGGTCTTTATTTCAAAATCTTAACTCTTTACTATGTTTTACTCTTTGTTCATTTTGTTTTCATTCTGTATATCTGAGCAACAAGCTGAAAGAAACATCGAAGCTGCCTCTTGTCTAACACCTACCTCAGTTCGTGAGAGATATACTGTAAGGATTTGCTGTAAACTGCATCTTCACTCGAGTACTCTCCCAGTTTCCCCAATCCGCTACAGTAATCATCAATTTTATGTCTTCCCCAGTCTCTTCATTTTGTTTCACATTTTCTTGCCAGAAAGACAACTGCTGGTCAAGAACAACTATATGTTTTGTTCAAATCGAAAAGCATTTTTTTTTCTAATGAAGCACACTGCTAATAATGATAAAGAGCAAAAAATTCAAAAGTTTTATTTGGTGCTTGTACTGTAAACTACTGGCAGTCTGTCTTGTAATTTACATATGAGACCCCAATAGTAGTTTAAGATAATCTGAAACACTTTGTCAGACACAGTCATGGGTTATTAGTGAAAAGAAGAATGTCTCTAAACTGTGTAAAACCCTGTAATTTTAGTTACAACAGTGTACTTAAGAAAGGTAATGAAGGAAATTGCATGTACCTTGAACTCTAGCTCCATGCCAGTGACATGTTCGCCGCTCTCCACCTGTGCCAGCTTCTGGATGTAGGAATAGAGGCTCCGGGCAGCCACTTCAGTGTTGCCGCAGGCCACCGCTTCCAGCAGTGCATCATGAATGAAGCTGTACTGGTCTTCTGTCTGCACCATGTAGTTCCTCTGTGAGCGCATCAGCGTCACGTGGCCATAAATGTCAACCGTTTTCTCGTGCTTGATACGCTCAAGCATGGCGTCGATGACGATGAAGCAACCTGTCCGACCGACACCCGCACTAAGGAATGAGAAGAAAGAGGAAAAGTAGTTGCAGACGTTTGTTTTTCTAGGGTCTTATCTTCTCAGGGTGCTGTGGATTTGAATATTCATTTTCTTAATTCTAAGTGCTTGTCTCATTTGTGTTGTAGGAATTGAACTATAATTTGTGGTAAATATTAAAATGAGGTGGTTGTGTGTGTCCAGTAATGCTTGTCGATTTGTGTTGGCATCACACTTTAAATAATTTAGTAGGTGAGAAAAACAAAGAGATATAGTGATAGCTAGAGAGGGAATACAGAAACAACTAAAAATGACAGACAGAACAACAAGAAGACAGTGATGGAGACTGAGCGAAGCAAGCTGTCAAAATTTTGTTTCATTGTGTAGTGCTTTGGACTCACTGAAGTCTTCTTATCTTGACAAAAAGGAAGGTTTCAATTTGAATAAGCCATTTGAAAAATGTTACTTGTAAAAGGAGGAAGGACTAAGGAGCAAAAAGGCAGAAGCAGGAAAGATGGGAAGGGATTACTGTGAGGCTTTTCACAGAGAGGCAAAAAAAGAGACAGTGGTGGAGAGAATAAAAGCACAGGAAAAAAAGGGATGCCTTAAAAAGAAAGATGATGTGACCAATGGAGAAAAAAAAGATGGAGGGCTGGTAAGAAAGAGACCATGTGTTTGTATAATGTGTGTTATATAATCTATAATGACAGCTGCACAGGAGCTCTGCCATTCTATTTGCTCATGGACATACACATGGACATCCAGCTAACCACAGGGGGCACATACAACTGCCCCACTAGGGCACACACATTCCTGTTGCATAAAAAGTTTTTAAAAAAGGCACTTTGGATCTTGGAGCAAATAAAGAGTATTTTAACTAACAACAAAGCGTTGGTACTGACCTGCAGTGAGCAATGATAGGTCCAGCGTCAGGCGGATTGCAGGTCTTCACCCTACGGAGGAAGGCCAGGAATGGGGTCGGGTACTCTGGTACGCCGTGGTCAGGCCACGCTGTGAACTGGAACTGACGAACCTCCCGCTTCTCACTAGAGCCATTCTGGAATAGGAAGAGTAAGGTGGGTTGGATATGGTGTTTGGAGTGACTGACCAACAGGTTTATTTGTGTCTTAAGAAATATAAGCACATATGGAGAGTATGCTGCTTTTGCTTAACCCCCAGGGGCAAACTGTGATTTGTGATTTTGGGTTATATAAATACAATTTCATGGAACATTGCCAGAGTAGACATCGTGCACTGTTCTTGGCATTTCAGAGGCATGATGAGGGTTTTAATCAGCGTTCCAGGTGTAACCACTTCCTTTCAACCCGCGTCATTTTTGGATGCCTTTCATCTGCCCCCTCATTTTTAAACCATTAATCTGACTCAGCTCAAATTTCAGGCCTATTCAAAGTTCTCTTTAGGGGAAGTTAACCTCCCCTGTATGGGTTTGTGCAACTGATGCACATGCCTACTAACAAGCTTGACAGAGTTGTGTGTTGGGATGGAAATAAAAAAATATGTAGCAACATTTTGATTAAATATCATGTATGGGTTATTCATATTACACTAAAGACTACCCTATTACTTAAAGGTCCAGTTCGTAGGATTTAGTGGCAACTGGCCATGTAGTTGTAGATCACAACTCCATCGCTTCAACCTGTCCTTCCAAGTGGAAAGAGAAACTACAGTGAAATGCACAAAAAACTGGGCTAATGTAGAAACATGGTGGTTAAGCATGGTGAACTCCATGGAAGGTGACCCGCAACGTCTGTAGATTAAAAAAGGATAATTCTAAGGTAACAAAAACATAAAAGTTCTTATATTCAGGTGATTATACACCAATAAAACATAGTTACGAATATTATATTCTGTTTTTGCCAATAGAGGCTCCTACATTTTACGCACTAGATCTTTAAGATAGATAGATTTCTTTGGTGCAGTATCGCTTAACAGGGTGTAATTATCCTTTGAGAAACACCTTTACACATGTAGAGCTGATCAGATGGCTAATATACTATAATAAGTATGATAATTTCTATACTGAAAAGTGCAGGTTTATATCTTCATGCTCTCACGTTGCCGCAGCTCAGAACATCTACAGATACATGCAACAAACACCCACATTACACAGCCGTCTGTCAGCTCCCGCCTCACTCAACTCAACTCTCAACGCATCAAAGATACAAGCTGGGATCCAGAGGAGGATTTTTGAGAAGGATAAGAAGAGAGAGAGAGAGAGAGAGAGAGAGAGAGAGAGAGAGAGAGAGAGAGAGAGAGAGAGAGAGAGAGAGAGAGAGAGAGAGAGAGAGAAAAAAATCTCCCTTGCATCTTTCTGTCCTCCTCTCCTCTCAGAAGATCATCTAATGGAGGTGCTGTTTGCATTTCAATGCAGTGTTTCTGCTTCCCTAACAGAGGGGATTTTTTCCTTGCTGAATAAATGAATAAATGAGTGCAGTAATTAAAAGCAAACTGACCTAAATCTTATTTTCCTTTTTTTTTTTGGACATTCCCTGTTTCTGCAGTTGAGTCAGGCTGCATGGATGTATTTGGTGTTTGGTGCTTGGCAGCTGGTTTTCTTTAAATTTCATGTTTTTGTTAAGGATTTATCAGTAGACACAATTCTGCCTCACTGCAGGACACACATACATATGGATAGCTACCACGGTGACTGCTTTGTAGATCCACTGTGTGTCTACTGCCGGCTTCTGCTACGTTATACTTCACACAAATCCAACAAAATATTTTTTCTCAGAGATATAACGTGAAAACAGCTCAGTGAGAAATCACAGCAATGGCTGCGGTTATAAGGAGGAAGGGAAGGATAGATAGAAAAATAATCATATCGGTGGGTTTGATGGAGGCTGAGAGCGGCAGAATGTAAATGGCCCCTGAATGTCAACCAGTAAGCTTTAAAGCTCTGTGGCTGCTGATATCTTGCTATCTTTACCATCATTGGTTTGTTCTGGTGCTCATTGTTCCACTGACATTCCAGCTCCAAAGACAACTGTGACTGAAACGTGGTGCTATATGGCTAAGAGGAAAATTCTGAAAATCTATCCTGTCCTTCCAATCGCAGGGTCTCTGCTAAATGTCTCCTTACAGTTATTTTACTGTTTGCATGACCATGTGTGTGAGACTGTGTCTACATGTGAGTGTCCTCATACCTATGCATATGTGTCATGGTATGCAAATAAATTTATTTGGGTTTTATGTGTTTGTGTTTCTGTGCGACCTTCACTATGTTTGTGTATGCTTCTTAAGAATGTTTTCATTTGTGTGGAGACTCTGTATCTGTGTGTGTGTGTGTGTGTGCGCACGCACAGGAGCATGAGAGCAGTCTGCCAATTATGTATATTGAGTTTCTCTTCTGCTCACTTTACCTAAGTGCTCCAATTTGGCAGATGCACATAAACAGATGATCTTCTGAGGAGAGAGAGAGCTGAACAAGGTAAAAGGGGAGGACTGGAAGGACAATTAGGACGAAGGCTTCTTTGTACATACTTTTACATTGAATGGACAAAAAACACAAGGTTTATGCCATCCTTTTTGTCGCTTATGTAAACTTTGCGTCTGTATTTTAACAAGGTATGTTCCATGAATTGGACTTCTGTTTACTGGACAGACATTGAATAATGATGGTGTTATTCATTGTTATCCAACTTGATAATAAACATACTTTTGTTTGAGAAAAGAAGACGTAGACAGCAGTCATGTACATATGTGTGTTTTTTGTGTGTTGTAGAGAGATATAAATCCTCATACCTTGTGCAAGGAAAAAGTGCGGACACAGAAAGTGGCCAGTTCTATGGTGTCCAACAGGGTCACTTGGGTCATACCATAGGTTTCTGTACCTCGACTTGGCCAGTACTGGTCACACTTAATCTGGAAGTGAGAGAGACAAACATAATGAGATATCAGTTGCAATATGTATGTCACAGTCTATTAAATGGTGTCTCCACTAATGAACAAGATCATGCACAAAAATGGCAGAGTGAAGAAAAATTCATATCATGTTTGCTCACGCGCACCACTCCTAAAGCAATCCCTCCTGTGGATTCAAACACCAGGCGGTGTTGACAGAAACACCAGGGTAGTTTCTCTGTATTTCAAATCTGAGAAACAACACTATGCAGACTGAACAGATGTGACCAGACCGTCACAGCAACTCCACTTTTACAGCTTAACTTCACCAACCTTACACAAATTCTGCTTGCATCCTTCACTAAATCTTATAACAGAAATGTTCAATACCAATGCAAAGCATCAGCTTATTTGAAATGTAGGGAACATAATCACTTTACCTATCCACCCGTATCTGCCAAAATAAAACCTGATAAAGTGTTATCATTTCAGTCCTCACATAAAATATCTCCGTTTCTTCTAGGCAGAGTTTTTTTTTTTTCCTGTATGAATTTTTAGCAGTTTTTTGTTCAGCAGCTCTACAGTATTTCTGAAAAAACAACACCTGCTTCTCTCCCCTGTCAGCCCACTTAATAAAGATTCATTCAATATGGGGTGTGACGCGCCAGTGGACATCAGATGAGATGTGACAGCAATTGAGGGAGATGTGCTGCTCTCCAGCTTTCTCTCCCATTTCCTGCTCAAGCTGACACCCAAGTTCTACCGCCCGCTAATCTTGATCACGTTTGACAGGAGTGGACCGCGCATGTCAGTATGGAGGATAGGTAAACAATTGAAAAGGGATAGAGGGAGGGAAAATGAGTGGAGACACCTAGGGTGAGTGAGCCTGATGTTGACACAGGTTTGAGCTGACAGGATGAAACATCACAGTTGGCTTTTTGACATTTAGACAAGTCCACTCCTTAATAGCAAAGAATACAAACTTTATAGATCCATCCTAAAGGTGCACTCACACCATTTGGCTTTATTTGATTTCTTTTTTATTATGCACACCTGCATTCTCAGCTCATAATTTAGAAAAATGGGTCATACGCCTGGCACTTTGTTTATGTAACGACTAGCTGTCACTATGGGCAAACACAATCAGTATCCAACTGTCAAACACTTAAGAGACTTCCTTAACAGACTCAACGTGCTTTCTGCTGATTCACTATGATCACAGAAAACAGCTGCCAATTTTTCAATGCATTTTCTGCTTTTAATCTTTTTGATTTTAAGTGCTGCTGTTGCCTTCTTACTCTGAAACCTGCTCTGTTCTTTGCTAGACTTAGTTTACGTTGAAAAAAGGCACAACTCAAAAAAGTTGGACTGTAACTATGGAAAATGTTCATTTTGACCTCAAGGACACCAGGCTGAGCGCCTTCCGAAGAATGAACTTCCAGCACACATTGTGACCACATAGCATTGACATAAATGTATAGAAGAAAACAAAAAAAACATACAAAAGTGGAGTAATGTGATCACTCCCTGCCATCTCATTCCTACCTTCTGGAGCTAAGCTACTGTACTCTCCATGAACTGTTCCTCTAACTTCCACTATCAACAGATGGTTGTGGGAGGCATTGGTCACGAGTACTGCAGAAACTCCATGGCACTCCGCTTAAAATGTACCTTTAACTTCCCGCACTGTGCACTCTGAGCACTAAAACTTGCTAAGCTCTCAGCACTGTAGGGAACATGCAACAGCTTGTCGTTTCCACAGCAAATAAGGAAAGAAAACAGAGCCAAGTCTGTGAAGACAGTCCCAGTGGATGCGCAGCCTAACTTATCAGATGTGCACATGTAGATTGTGTTTGAGTTAACACTGTTTTATCACCCTCCCCTGCACTTCTCTGAAGGCAATCCATCTCAAGAAAATGAAATCTGATTATCGACCAATGAAGTTCAGGTGTGCAACTGGGGAATAACTGTAAAGCTGTGCCATTTTCAGCAGCTAGTTCCTGTACTTGAGCTTGTGAACCAATGATTTGATTTTGAGGTTCATTTAAAAAACAATATTTAAAAAGTGGTAAAAACAGCATCAGTCCAAAAATTGGTTGAGCAGACTTACCCGTGATTTCTCCTCCAGCCTGGTCATCATGACCACAGTGGCTGCTCTCTGTTCCCACACCATCCTCCAGAAGTCCCCAAACGTCTCTGGTAATGGACCCTGCGTGGCGATGTAGGCATTCTGCTTCCTGTAGCCATCAATGTAGTTGGCATTGATATAGTCACTACCAGTGATACCTAGATACAGATAACAGGAAGGAAAATATCAAGAGTTGGAACATTATACTTCTGTCTTTTCCTCTGGAATCCATTAAAATTTTTAATCCATCCGACTTTTTCATTATTCTATTCTCATTATTTGGACCCTTTTGTATTGTGCCATCTGCCTCAATAATTCACAGTTTTCACACGCACTGACCCTGTTTCCCAATCAATGAAGGTGTAAAGATTCTAGACTGGAAACAAGTAAATTACTTATGTAACAAGTTCTCACACCTCTTATTGTTGAAAGTGAAAATTGGCTGAGATTGGTGAAAATGTAAGTGGCAGTGTCTTAAGTGGTGACTTATTTCAGCTTCTGGGAGTTAAAATATTTTATATATTATTCTTGCCCAATAGATCTTAGTGCTTGTTTTGACAACAATATTTTAAGACATAATACAAGATGGAATGAGATGTTGAAACAATCTCAAAGCCCTGCTCCCTCTCTGCTACTGTAGAGCTGAAGGAAACCTCAGTTGTTGTTCCATTTGAATGGATTCAAATGCAGCAACTGCCTTACTGCCACAACTTTCTGTTCTGCTCTTTTATCATTTTCTTTTTCTCCATCTGTGGTTCTGCCTTGGTTCCTGTAGATATTGTGTAGCAACCTACATTTGATTTACTACCACCACGGATGGAGTGTGCTTGAAGATAGAGGATAGTGAGGAGTAAATCAGCCACTCAGCCACCACTGCTGGGAGGTAGATCCAGCTACCATCCCTCTCAGCTTGCCACCATGCTCTGTTGCACACCGGTCCCACTAAATCTAGCTGTAAGGCACCCCTCCACATTGCTGGGTAGACAAATGTGCAATGGCAACATTTTAATGCAACCATGATGTGTACATAGCACTTGTAAACTCTTTCGCAAAATCCTGCTTCGACTGACTGCATGTAACTATCAAAGTACTATGTGACATCCTTTAATGACACATTAAAGGATGTCACATAATACTTTGAAGTGTTGTTACTACTGCAGACACTGCAGTAGTAAACAAACACTTCAAAGCTAAAATATGAAGTTCACTGCAAGCCTTCACCAGGATTGCTCATGATACCAAGTGTACAAAGTTATGCAATTATGAAACATGCCTCTAGTCTCATCATATGCAATAGAAAACTGTCATCAAGCTCAGATATGAAGGATTCAGGGTTTTGTGGTGGTGTGGACTGTCCTGCATCTTAAAAGTCAAGGTGTCCTCGAGCTTGGTGCAGAATCACTACAGGCTCAGTAAGTTTGAGCTGTTTTAAAAAGAGATTAAAGCTAAAATGTCATAAATGTAAACAAGATAATCCGTGATTAGAGTATGTCGAACACCGAGCATTTGATTGTGATAAGACCGAACATCACCCTTCTTCATTGCACCAACTTCTAAAATCCTGTCAGTTGCAAAGAGACTCCAGTGTGGCGGCATCTGTGTTGGAGAGTCACGTCTCTTTGACTGACGTCTCCTCACTCAAGCGTCAAACAATGAAACACTCGACTGGGCTAATTTAAGAGAGGAGACGCAGTGAGGACAACAACCAGGGTGGAGAGGATGAATGAGATAGAGAAAGAGAAGGAGGGTGAGAGAGAGAGATGGAGGGAGAACAAAGAAGAAAAGAGAAGAAAGAAAAAAGAATGAAGAAATGAAAGAAAGGAAAATGTCATTAAAACGGATACCACGTCGCAGAATCTGTGTGACTGTGGTGCCTTGGCTTTAGTCATAGCTAAGTGAACAGAGAATGGCGGTGTGCATGAATTGTTCTACTGCTGCAACTAATGGCAAAATCACTGCAGTGTAAAATAGAAATTTCAGACTTGATTAATTTATGTATTTATGGACGAGGCATTTTTTCCCTGGGATAATTTTGTTATGCATGTTGTCGCACCCTCAAATTGGCCTGACTATTGCGAGATGTCGAAATCTAGTTGGAGCAGTTATCTCACACAAAAGGAGATTACTGTGGAGTAGAGAGTTTGGCACTACTGTGAGGAGTCTGGGAGCTCTTCTGGTGATGCAACGCCAGAACAATGTCAGCGGTGAAGGGTGACTACCTCTGACAATGTCCCTTGAGATTTAGGAGTCAGAGGAAGACTTTTTCTGGCTCAGAGATTCTCAGTACTGTGTCTGTGGGCAGTTAGAGGGAAGTCATGAGAGCGGGGCATATCTGATGAGACAAATGGGACGGTGAAAACACTGGGTAAATTCCTGGATCAGTCTGACTGAGTGCTGGGCCCAAAGATGAGCCAAAACAAGCCCTCGACTAACCCCCCAAAATAATACGATTCTATATACTGCTTTGCTGCTCAAGACCAAGTTGAGCTTAAACATGTCCTCCGTTTAGCCTCCAACAAAATTTTGTTTTGATCTACAAATTCACTGGTGGCTGCTGAACGGAATATGAACTGAACAACACAATACATTATTTCATTTTATTTCTCTCATGTCTTATTCTGTTTTGCGTCATGCTACTGTGTTGACTCAAGGCAATGCTTGTGTTATCCAGCCCAGTCTGGAGTATTTATTATTTCTTTTATTTCTCTTTCTCTATTGTTTTTTGATAAAGTACAGATTCTACTGTAATCATGCCAAGTGTAGTCCATACAGTACAGTAAAAAACTGTATTTTATCACCTTTATTGTATTTAATTAATTCTATTTCAGCATTCATACACTGTTCTAGTTTAGTCTTCACTGTCTAGTCCCATCTGCTCTAGTGGATGTCTAGCCAGTACAAATTATTATAATTACTTAAATTGACTCTGTAATTATGAGGATTTCCTGAATGATCTGCAATAAGCTCAGCTCATCACTGAGGTCGTGTGGGTGCAGAGTGTGAGGATGGGTGAGCCTTACCCTCGATGGGAGCCAGGATGACGCGGGAGTGGTCATAGGCGATGACGTTGGCATAACGATTTTTGGGCTTGTTCACCTCCAGGTTGGAGTGTTCCCAGGTGAACTGCTGGCCTGGATCAATAGACTGACGTGGGGCAGAGACAGGCAGAACATGGACATACAAATAAGAAATCAGAAAAGCTGAGCAATAACAATAAGGCCTTCAATGTTATTATAGAAAGAAGAGAGGGACAAGTTGGGGGAGAGGGACAAGTGGGGGGAGAGGGATTGACAGGGTGATTTCTCCAAAGGAAAAAGAACATGGTATCATGAAAATCTGCTTGCTGCCTGCTTTAAATACTCACAGAAGTTGCACACAGTACTTTATCAAGATCATTATTGTAGTGGGTATATAGTGACAAATAACGAAGAAGGCGGCTCGCTCCCTTGCGGGGAGGGTGTGGAGCGAGGCCCGACTCTTGGGTGAAAGACAAATTCATCCACCTCTTTAAAATACAACAATTCCAGATAAATATTCTATTCCCTTGTCAGGATAATTAAGTATTCCATTACGATTCGCTGCTCGCTTACAGGCGTCTGGCGCTCTGTGGGTATGGGGAGGGAGGCTTGAAGGATATTTGCAGTTAGGGCTTCAGCATGTAGGGTGGGGGGCTGAAGTTGAATGTAGTTCGACTGGAAACCTGATCTAACAATTTCCATGCAATCATTCCAGCAATCAGAGCCTCCTTCTGTTTTAGCCTCTTTCCATCGCTGTTTTTTTCCTTTTTTCCTGCCCTCTCATCTCTAGCCCTCTTTCTTTGTCCCTGTTTTCCTTATCTGCATGTCTCCATCTTCAAAGTCTTCCACTTTTCTGTCCATTTTTTTTGTCTCATTATCTCGCTCTCCATCTCCCTTTTCCTCTCTGATGTTTACACTCCCTCTCTTGCAGTCACCCTCCTGCTATTTTCCCTTTCTTTCTAGATTACCTTAAGGCTGACTATGTGTGTGTGTACGTGTGTGTGTATGTATATATAAAAGATTGGGGTCACATTCCCTGAAACATCACTCACTTCAAAAATTGAAACCCACATTTGTGTAGTCCACTCCAATTTTTTTTCTTCATAAATTACATCTAGGAAGTGTGTATGGCAAAAGTCCAGTATTTCATTTGGTGAAATAACTATTTCCAGAAGTGATTTGACTGACTGAATAATAATGTATCAAATTCTGTGACAACGACTGTAGAAATTTCTTCCTCCTCCTCCTCATCCTCCTCCTCCTCATCCTTCTCCTCCGCATGATCGATGATAACATGTTTGAATGACAGCTTCTGTCAAGAAGGTAGTCTTTGCAGGACATGGCTGCTAACTGCTTGATAGTAGATAAGATAACAAACTATGGCTTCAGTATCGTCAGGTAAAAACTGCAGCTGCCTTTCCATTGCTGCTTGTATGTCAGATCATCGCCACTTCATCTCTGCTCTCCAGCTGAGATGCCCTGCTCACTCTCTCCCTCACTGAATCTTCATCATTAACCAAGCCTCCCCACCTCATCTCTCTCCTTTCTCCTCTCTCCCCTCCACTTTTTCCTCCTCCCTCACATCCCGCCTGGCTAAAAACCAATCAGTCAAAGCCCCGTAGAGCTGCGCTTGGCAAGCCAGGGCGCCCGGACGAGCAGCCATTCATCAAGAAAATAACAAAATTAAAATTACACTTCTCTATTTAATTTGGTCATTTATTTTTCCTGGGGGGTGGTTGTGTGAAGGGGCAGGGGGACAGAGAGAGAGAGAGAGTGAAAAACGGGGGAGCGGGAGAAGAGACGAGCGGGCGGTTTAATGCTCTCTCAAAGCCAAGTAATTAGAAGTTGTAGTTGTAGCAAAGCGTCAACTTTGGTATCACGTCTCTCTTCCCAACAAATGGAACACGCTTGTCCATTTGGTACACAGCCTGGATGTGGATTTATGAATAATAGATACCAAAGAAATACTGGATCGCTATGAGAAGTCATTATCCACCAACATTCACTGGCAGGCATGATGACAGCAATCTATGCTGGTGTACCTGCTTCCTACGTTAGCCTGGCGTGCAGCGAGGCGACAGGCACAGTGATTTAGGGATGGCGAGGAGGGGATATTGCTTGTATGCAAACGAGAGCTGATTCAGCACTCTTGATTTCTAATCAACTCTGGTGTCATTTATAACCGCCACGGTCTCAGAGCTCAGACAGCTCAGTTACACACACACACACACACACACACACACACACACACACACACACACACACACACACACACACACACACACACACACACACACACACACACACACACACACACACACACACACACACACACACACACACCCACACACACGTACTATGTTAAAGTCTGACTGCCGGTGTGCTTTCCCCCAAAAAACACATTAATGGAGTTCTGCCTACACCATTTTAGTCAAAAGAACATCTTTACTCCAAGTTCATTGGTGTGTGTGAAGAATTTTAAACACTTATTTATCCCCTTAAAGGTCCAGTGTGTAACATTTAGGAGAATCTATTGGCAGAAATTGAATATAATATTTATAGCTATGTTTTCATTATTGTAGAATCACCTGAATAAAAGAATAGTTGTGTTCTTCCACCATGTCTCTACAGTAGCCCAGAACATACAAACCAAACACTAACTGTAGATATGACCTTTTGCCTTATTTTGCTGCTACCATAGTCTCTCACAGCCCATTCTCTTTCCCAGGTCGGCAAATACAGATTCGAGCGGTGTTCAGTTATTTGCAATCTACAACTTCACCACTTGATGCAACTAAATCATACACACTGGACCTTTAATGAGCCTATGATGCAGATGATGATGCTATGAAAAATGTTCCTAAAAAACACATGTATAGATTCAAAAAAGATGAATTTTTTTTGTGTTTTATTTTTTATTTTTCTTCTTTTGTTCTTACCATAATGATATTTCATTGCTTATATTGCTCCTACCACTACTGCAGCTACTGCTAATACTGCTACCACTGCTACTTTCTTCTTCGGATATTTCTGCTGCTACTACTCCTTCTCTTACTACTACAAATAGTATTAATACTTAGAATAGTAGTATTTCTAGTATTAGTAATACTACAACCAGTACCACTACTGTTACTACCATTATACTGCGACTACTACAATTGATCGATATTGTGCTTGTACTTCTGCTGCGGCAACTCATGTCACTACCAGTACTTTCACTACTACTACCAATGTTAACCCTCCTACTAGTACTGCTATTACTTCTTTACTACGACTACCACCACTGTTGCACCTACTGCTACTCCTACCAATGCTACTCTACTACTACTGAAAAAAAAGAATAATCTCTCTTAATCATAACTTATGATCCACTAGAAGTGTTTGGCGATGTCTGTATTGGCAGAGACCCCACCCACTGCCTATATTTCAACCTTTGAATGGTGCAGTTACAAACAGCAACATACACATATCATACACATATAAGTAAATGTTTATATCTCTATGATAGTTATAGCCTTCAATTTGTAATTTCTGGTGCTCAATTTTGATTAAATCAAAAACACTGATTCAACAGATTTAATTTTCTCAAGTCCCCACTTTACACTAATCTATAGTGTTTCCTCGGTTGAATGCAGTTACCCAATTCTGTAAGTAAGTGGGTACATTTTGGATGTCACAATATTTCATTTTGTAGCAGAAATATACAACGTCTTTTTTTAAAACCCGTTTCCTGATATAGGACTGGATGCATTACAGTAAAATGATTCTTTCATTTAGCCAAGAATTTGAGGAAATTGCATTTGGGAGTTTAGGAGTTGCAACAACCTGCCAAGGGAAATTTTATATAATTGCAAATGACTATTGTCTTGCTTTGCCATGGTGAGGCTGCCAATATATCTGAGAAAATAAGTGGCTGAGAACAACGCATATTTCATAACTGCTCAAGCACCACCAGCTACAGCATTGTCAGCAAGTGTGGGGAAACAACCTAAATGAAGAAAAACAGCCATTTCCCTGGGGGAAAGAAGGGACTCTTGTGTCCCCTTCCAATGAAAACACAATCAGACAGAAATCAATACTCAGAAGAAACTTTGACCTTTGAACCTTTGGCCCACTCACCTCATATTCCTGGGAGAGCTTGAGATTGTCATTGGCCTTGAGTAGTTCTGTATGTTCGGCCAACTCTGAGATAGGGATGGGAGGATGATTCATCATACCTGCTCGCCAAAATATTGAGAGAGAAATTCCAGATATGGGAAGAGAGGAAATAAAGCTCATTAGTACAACAGGACACACGTTCAAAACCTAAAAAACAAACAAGACACCATTTATGGGTGAGAATATGTTGCTTACATAACAATGGAAGTTGGGTTTTAGTGGTGAGGAAGCTTGTGCAGAACATGGTGAATGTCACACACAGCAAATATTGATTGGTGATGTTATAGGCATTTGATTGGACCAGGCCAGAGCTCAAAAACAGCTACTGAAGGTTTGTCGAGCAGGGCTGATTGATTATTTGCCAAAGGTAGCATATAGACCAAATTGTATTAATTCCCGCAATGGTCATGAAGCTGACAGACAGACGGACCAATGGGAGCAATGTTGCTGAGGGCAGACATAGAAAAACACAGATCATATAGGTCTTAAACATTTGGAGGTGTCAATTTTAATAGCTTGGGAAATGAGTTAAAAATGATGCAAGATGAAAAATGTAAGGTTTTCATGGTGAAATCACAGAGAAGAAACGCGACAGCTCTTTTTACTCTTTGCATCAATGAAGGGCTTATGTTGACAAAAATCCCTTGTACTCCTCATTGAAGATAATCAAAAGTAATATTTAGTTTCAGCATTGCTGCTATCAACAAAAAAGAGGAGAAAACCATTTTGTAATGTCTTTTGAAATAAGTCTTTAAATATGGTTTTACTTGAAGTTTTACTAACAAATGCAAGTCGACTTAGTTATTGCCAATATATATATTTAGTACATAAATACAAAATATAATTATTACTTTCAGCACCATCCTCAGTCAAGAAGAAAGTTGAGAGAGAAGCAATGAAACAGATCTTTCGATCTGGATCAGACCATACATATTCCACAGGCCTGCTTCCACTGTATATTTAATCATAATGCCCTGGCTGTGTTCTTACCATGTGACAATTTTGACTGTTGCCTCTATAAAAAAGGTACTTATTCTAGGAAGGAGCCCTGACCTGGGGGGGCTCATGTGAGGGGAGGTGGGGAGTGGAATAAGGAGATTTAGGAGTGTGAAAGATGCTGAGTGACACAGTGAGCTGCTCCATTCCAGCCAGCACAAAGCAAGCAAGCTGGTGTTTCTACTCCTTCCTCCATCTGCTGGTTTCATAAACCCAGTGAACGTTGGCTCTAAGATGAACACCCTTTACTTTCCAAATCACAAAAAAAGCATTGTCAGTTGCAGGTCCAACGCGTTCCTCGCCAAAATCATTCTGCCATTTATCCCGAAGAATTCCCAGCTCTTAAATTGGGTGAAAATGTATTTATTTATTTTGGTTTGCTCCAATATCCACTGAATATTGTGTTGCCCCTGCCACAATATTATCAGCAGTGCTGTGCACTCCAGTCACTAATCCATTTATGAACATAATGCTGAGGCCATGTAATGGAATATGAAGCAGCCATAGATTGTGGCTCTGTCCCTGCATGCGGACTGGCAATACTTAACGCTTTCATATTTTTAGTAAGAGCTCTCTTTTCCTGCCGAGTGACAAGGTCAAAAGTCGACAAAATGTTGAAATGTCTTCACAAAAAAAGTTACAGAGGCTAAATTGGGCGTGCAAATCGGCATAATCACATTAACCATCCTTCATTTTCCTTTTCTCACAATGCCTAATATCCCCCCCAATGTCAAGGGGGGGTCAAAGATGTTTTGGCTGCTTTTGTTGCGCTTAAGAGAGGGAGCCCAACTCTTTGTGCTGACAGTCTTCATTAGTAATGGCAATTTATTTTACACTGAGAGAACAATGCAGCAGTGTCAATTACATGAAGATTAACAAAGATTACAATGCATATATGGGGCAAATGAGGAGATGACACTGGATGCCGTGACATCCTCCGGAAAATGAATGGACACACTGCATTAACAGCCTACTTGACAAGAGTTGTGCAACAAAACACACCCATGCCCTTCTTAATAGAGCATTTAAAAGATGTTTACTTAAATTGATATTTTTATTTTATTTTTAAAGCCTATGTTGAATTTCTTTTTCTTTTCAATATCTTTTTAAAACCCTGTAAGGTAATAGGATAAATCTAATTATATTAGTCTATTTAGACAAAGCTCAGTGTTTATTTAGTCATACTTCAGTTTCTCAAAGAGCTGACACAGCCTACAGATTGTGGTGGCACCACTTGAGAATGAGAGGAAGTTATTAATCACTTCTCGTGTGGGAATTAATTGAGATGAGTATCAAGAAAAAGAGGAAATATTGCAAAATTGAATTTTGCGTGTCAGTTTACTTGCTTCAAATTCAACGTGAAAAGGTATCAGAAGCTATGAGCGAAATAAATAAATGCGTATGCAAATGAGCGGCCCTCGCTTCTCCTTGAGAAAACAAGAGAGGAGAGATCAAAGAATGTTTGTGTGTACGTGTGTGTGTGGCTGTGTAGCTCACTCTGCGTGTATTTGTGAGTATGAGTGAGTTACTGACATACTCAAAATCCATCAGTTCTTTTCAGTTTATGTTTACTGCCCACATTACGTGTATAAGTGCCTAAAGGCCAAAATGTTTACATATACATCCAAATAAATCATGATGCACTGCCATTGGGATAGGCTGAAGGTTATACATACAATGTTTGTTTATTCCCTCAAACTTTGGCAGAATGTTAAGGGAAACTTATTATGTAGACGTATAAAAACAACATCAATACTTAAATTGCAAGAGGCTTAAATCCATTATTTTACCTTTATCTAGCTTTGCCCTTTGCCAATATACCTAAAGCTATAAGTTGTCATGTTTACACAGATGAACCCCACAGCCAAACCAGTCTGCTTGTGCTGTTTGTCTATTTCTCTCGCTCAGTGTACTATACTCCAACCTCAGCCATTTGTTTTGTTCTCAAGACAAATGAGTCGATCGCGCCTGATTATTGTGCCTTGCATAAGCAAGCACAATACTACTCTTCCTCGTGCTTATTATTATTGTGCCTTGCATAAGCAAGCACAATACTACTCTTCCTCGTGCTTATTATTAAACTTATTATTATTCTTCCGTACGCTTTTTGGCGCGCTTCTTCTCCCGCAGCTTTTGTCGCACATACACAAAAAGGTATCAAACGTGCGGCTCGATGAGGACATTAGTGCTATGACTTTTCTAAGAATTCCGCTAAACGGTTTGCCGATAAATCGCCAAAACCGGTCCAAAAATGAATGGGTGTGTATTGGAGAACCTCCAACTGAAAAAACTGCCAGAGTGCGTGACATCATCGCTAGAGTGTGGGGAGAGAGAAAAATGTGTCGAAAAATAAATTTGTAAACTGCTGTCACGGCCACAAATTTCACTCTACAGAAATAATTTATAGATAGAAACGTAGGTAAATCCGTTGGGGTCGCAGTGATACCACTGCTGAAGCTGTCAGACAAATAGTTTTGGCGGGAAACGCACTGATGCGCCAGCAACGCCCTCTCACGGCCCCATCTACTCCCATGTTAATTTTAGAGGGGCAATCTTCAAAAACGCTTGTTGAACCTCTTCTCTCTCAATCTCCCCAGGTCACATTTTTTAACTTTAGCCACTGAAACTCGGCAGTGCTATAGTCAACAAGATGACGACGCCCACGGTGTTTTCGGTTTTCATTTCGGTCGTTCCTGGCCATGCTTTTGAGGGGATTCATTTTAAATGTTTCTGTCTCTCTGAGGAGTTAGAGACAGAGAGAGAGCGCGCGCAGCTGCTGTGGGCTCCCCTGATTGCCATGACAACCAAAGCCTGCTACACACACACACACACACACACACACACACACACAGCTAGCTACAGAGAATGACAAGACATTAATAAGCTAGCGCTAGCTGGCTAACTAAAGATAATTAGCAGGTGGCTAACAAGCAAACAATTTAAAGCTGAATGATTTTAATATTAACACAAAATAAGTTCAATACACCTTAAATATTTTACCCTACTATGAGCTGTTCCTTAATTTACATTAGCACTCCTTCAGGAGCATAATACAATTAAAGACATTAACCAAAGCTAGCACTTAGCTAGCGATTAGCGCTTAGCTAGCGATTAGCATGTAGCTAGCGATTAGCACGTAGCTAGCGATTAGCGGTTAGCTAGCGATTAGCATGTAGCTAAGCGCTAGCTTTGGTTTATGTGTTTATGTGTGCTAGCTCTAGCTAGCTAGCTAAAGAGAATGACATGATATTAATATGCTAGCGCTAGCTAAGGAGGATGACAGGTTATCAATATGCTATAGGGAGGATTACATGGCATTAATAATCTAGCGCTAGCTGGCTAGCTAAAGATAATTAGAAGGCGGCAAACATACAAACAATTTAAAGCTGAATGATTTTAATATTAACACAAAATAAGTTCAATACACCTTAAATATTTTACCCTACTATGAGCTGTTCCTTAATTTACATTAGCACTCCTTCAGGAGCATAATACAATTAAACACATTAACCAAAGCTAGCACTTAGCTAGTGATTAGCGCACAGCTAGCGATTAGCGGTTAGCACGTAGACATGGTATTAACATATGGGCCAGAGCAAGGCACAATCAAAATTGCTTTAGGAATTTTCTAGTTATTGTGCCTTGCATAAGCAAGCACAATACTACTCTTCCCCATACTTATTATTATTATTCTTCCGTCGTTTTTGGCGCTTCTTCTCCGCAGCTTTTGTGCACATACACAAATAAGGTATCAAACGTGCGGCTCGGCCGGGAATGGTGTGCTATGACTTTTCTAAGAATTTCGCCAAACGGTTTGCCGATAAATCGCCAAAACCGGTCCAAAAATGAATGGGTGTGTATTGCGAGACCTCCAACTGAAAAACTGCCAGAGTGCGTGACATCATCGCTAGAGTGTGGGGAGAAGGGAAAATTTGTCGAAAAATTAATTTGTAAACTGCTGTCATGGCCACAAATTTCACTCTACAGTAATAATTTATAGATAGAAACGTAGGTAAATCCGTTGGGGTCGCAGTGATACTACTGCTGAGCTGTCAGACAAATAGTTTTGGCGGGAAACGCACTGATGCGCCGCAACGCCCTTCATGGCCCCATCTACTCCCATGTTAATTTTAGAGGAGCAAATCTTGAAAGCGCTCGTTGAACCTCTTCTCTCAATCTCTCCAGGTCACATTTTTAACTTTAGCCACTGAAACTCGGCAGGGCTATAGTCACAAGATGGGCCCACGGTCTTTCGGTTTTCTTTGGTGTTCCTGGCCATCCTTTTGGGGATTCGTTTTAATTGTTTTCTGTCTCTGAGGAGTTAGAGACGAGAGAGAGCGTGCGCAGTGTTGGGCTCCCTGATTGCCATGACAACCAAGCCTGCTCACACACACACACACACACACAGCTAGCTACGAGAATGACAAGACATTAATAAGCTAGCGTTAGCTGGCTGCTAAAGATAATTAGCAGGTGGCTAACAAGCAAACAATTTAAAGCTGAATGATTTTAATATTAACACAAAATAAGAACAATACACCTTAAATATTTTACCTACTATGAGCTGTTCCTTAATTTACATTAGCACTCCTTCAGGGCTATACGTTAACACATTAACCAAGCTAGCACTTAGCTAGCGATTGCATGTGCTGCGATTAGCACGTAGCTAGCGATTAGCGGTTAGCTAGCGTCGCACGTAGCTAAGCCCTAGCTTTGGTTTTGTGTTTTGTGTGTGCTTTAGCTAGCTAGCTAACGAGGATGACAGGTTATCAATATGTTTAGGGGGATTACATGGCATTAATAAGCTAGCGCTAGCTGGCTAGCTAAAGATATTAGCGGTGGCTAACAAGCAAACAATTTAAAGCTGAATGATTTTAATATTTACACAAAATAAGAACAATACACCTTAAATATTTTACCCTACTATGGCTGTTCCTTATTTTTGCACTCCTTCAGGGCATAATACATTAAACACATTAACCAAGCTAGCACTTGCTAGCGTTGGGTTGCTAGCGATTAGCATGTACTAGCGATTAGCGTAGCTGGATTGCGTAGCTGCACTAGCTTTGGTTTATGTGTTATATGTGTGCTTTAGCTAGCTAGCTAAACATGACATGATATTAATATGCTAGCGCTAGCTAGGGGATGCAGGTTATCAATATGCTATAGGGAGGATTCATGGCATTAATAATCTAGGCTAGCTGGCTAGCTAAGATAATTAGCAGGTGGCTAACGCAACAATTTAAAGCTGAGTGTTTTAATATTAACACAAAATAAGTTCAATACACCTTAAATATTTTCCCTACTATGAGCTGTTCCTTAATTTACATTAGCACTCCTTCAGGGCATAATACAATTAAACACATTAACCCGCTAGCACTTAGCTACCATTATCGGTTGCACTAGCTAGCGATTGCGCGGCTAGCGTTAGCGGTTAATAGCGGTTGACGTAGACATGGTATTAACATATGGGCCAGAGCAAGGCACAATCAAATTGCTTTAGGAATTTTCTAGTTAAACTTATTATTATTCTTCCGTCGCTTTTGGGCGCTTCTTCTCCGGCTTTTGTGCCATACACAAAAGGTATCAAACGTGCGGCTCGATGAGGACATTAGTGCTATGACTTTCTAAGAATTTCGCCAAACGGTTTGCCGGTAAATCGCCAAAACCGGTCCAAAATGATGGGTGTGTTTGCGAGAACCTCCAACTGAAAAAACCGCCGAGTGCGTGACATCATCGCTAGAGTGTGGGGGGAGAAAATTTGTCGAAAAATAAATTTGTAAACTGCTGTCATGGCCAATTTCACTCTACAGAAATAATTTATAGATAGAAACGTAGGTAAATTCGTTGGGGTCGCAGTGATACTACTGCTGAGCTTTCGACAAATAGTTTTGGCGGGAAACGCACTGATGCGCCAGCAACGCCCTCTCCGGCCCCATCTACTCCCATGTTAATTTTGAGGAGGAATCCTGAAAACGCTCGTTGACCTCTTTCTCTCAATCTCCCCAGGTCATTTTTAACTTTAGCCACTGAAACTCGGCCGCTATAGTCAACAAGATGACGCGCCCACGGTTTTCGGTTTTTTTCGGTCGTTCCTGGCCATGCTTTTGAGGGATTCGTTTTAATTGTTTTCTGTCTCTCTCAGAGTTAGAGACAGAGAGAGGCGCGCGCGCGCTGTGGGCTCCCCTGATTGCCATGACAACTAAAGCCTGCTCCACACACACACACACACACACACACACACACACACGCTAGCTACAGAGAATGACAAGACAATAATAGCTAGCGCTAGCTGGCTAGCTGGCTAGCTAAAGATAATTAGGGTGGCTAACAAGCAAACAATTTAAAGCTGAATGATTTTAATATTAACTCAAAATAAGAACAATACACCTTAAATATTTTCCCTACTTGAGCTGTTCCTTAATTTACATTGCACTCCTTCAGGAGCATAATACAATTAAACACATTAACCAAAGCTGCCTTAGCTGCGATTGGGTTGACTTAGCTAGCGATTAGCGCGGCTGGGTTAGGGTTGCGTGACTGGTTTACATTGGGCCGGCAGGCACAATCAAGCTTGGATTTTCTAGTTTGTTCTCTTATTCATTTTGTCATTTACACACTGCATGGCCCATTGCTGTGTTTATCCAAGAAAAGATTTACGTTCAAAACTAGACTTTGCCACGACCCGCACTCGAGCAAAGTCACTCAAGGACAAATTGTTATTATTCCCCTCCCCGCCAAAGCTCTCGTCTTTCTCTTCAACAAAACCCACAGCTTTTTCCTGTCACATTCTTCCATTTTTTTCCCACTGCAATCAACAATGTGATCAATGAACACAGAAAAACAAACTAGCGTCTAATTACACATTTCCAATCTGCCGATCCGCAGTCGATGCGCCTGAGAAATATAATGATTCTTTTTGATAAGCAAAAGCCTAACCCTCTCTCTCCAAAAGCCTATTTATGATGTTGCATATTTTCGTATAAAAGGGAAGAAGTTTGTCAGTAGGAGGAAAAGAAAAAAGGGGGGGAGAGAAGGGGAAGACGAAAACCAGAAACTTGGCTTTTTCTCTCGGATGATCCTTTTGCAGTGAGTAGGGAGAGGGGGTGATCAAATGTCGAGCCATTGTTTGCCACCGCTTTAATTAATTCTGCTCGTTATCTCTGAGCACAGAAAAGACCCTGTTACTTCAGAATGGAAATGGAGCAGTGGTGGTGAAGGAGGAGGAGGAAGGAGAAAGGGAGGGGGAGGGGAGGGGAGGGGGATAACAGAGATTGTAGTCCTGTAAAATAAACACCTCTCAACCATCTACATCAGCAGAAGTGATCGCACAGGTTATTTATGCATGGTGGATTAATGCACAGCCAACAGCCCAAGTGAATATAGTGACTGACATCCAATTAAACAAAAAAACAAAAACAGCCTAGTATACCAATAGAAACCAACATCAAATTAATTAGTGCTGAAATTTTGCTGAAATGTGGAAAAACAAACAAATGCAAATTATGTATTTGTAAATGGAGGCAAGCGGTGCTAGAAAAAAGATAAAGAAAGCTGGTACGCAAATGCTAAAAGCATAGAGACTAACTTTCATAGTCAAAATCTGCTTCACTCTGAGGACTGCTTAGACCAGAATCTGTAAAGAACAGCAAACATAAGGGAAACTGTTTCAAAAAGGCAGTAATGCAAAAGAAAAGGCTAAAGAAAACAGAAAAATGTGCAAAATGATAAAAGGCCAAGAAATAAAACACAAAGTCAATAATACATTTTCTTTACAAACAGTTTACTATCAGTAAACTCAGGCCCTTCTCATGATGGCCTGAATGACAGATTTGAGGCCATACTGCCACACAAACATGAAAAGGTAGGGCAAAAAGGATCACATCAAATCAGCTACACTCCTCCTCAGGAGCAGACTGGTTAGCCGTGGGCGTCAGCCTCTGAGGCCCCAGCTGAGAAAACTCTTCTGCCATGCCCAATGGTCATAGAGATGGGGGATAAAAAAAATTTATTTGCTATCTCTCAGTTTTCTTAAACACCAGTTGGAAGGGCCCACTGATAAGAATGAGAGAGACAGAGAAGGGGAAAAAACAGCTTATGTTTCCTGTTGAAAACTAACTCTGAAAGTTTTCTTTGTCTGTAGCTTAGTGCTGAGGTATTGGGAGTGAAAGGTGTGGAAAAGTGTCCAAATTTTTAGCTGACAGCTGTGGAGCCAGAGCTGATGGTAGTCATAGCTCTGAGGAGGGAGGTGATGGTTCAAAGTCTTATCTGCTCCAGAGGAGAAGCCCTCTGAGGCTGCAGCCAACGATGCTATGTCCGGGTAGACTCAGGTCTCCGCAACTGTTCAAGCAGAAAGGGAGCCATCTGTGACAACATTAACAGGACATGTGGCTAAGAGATGCAGTTTGATGGGATCCTGCCAACCTGCCCATCAAGTGAAGGGAAATACATTTTGCCAGGGATGAAAGCTGAAATCAGATCGACGGGGTTGCTCGGGGATAAGAAAGGATCACATCACCCAAAGATGGCAACTTGGATCCATTAAAATCAGATGATTTGTTTCACAGCATGTATAAGAAATGAAAAATGGAAGGGAAGGAAACCTGACTTTTGTACAAAAAGGAAAAAAGAACTTTGTTTATTTTAAAAGATTTTTCCCCAAAAGTCTGGTCCCAAAAACGTAAAACTTCTTCTTTGAGATAAATGACAAGTAGGTCCTCAATCCTAGTTAATGCTGTATTATTTTTTTTATTAATACTCACATGATTAGTCAGCCTAATAACAGTGCTAAACTGCAGAATAAAACTGAGTTTTTCCTTTCTTAGTGAGAGGACGTCAGGTCAGTGGCGCCAAACGAGCACAGAGAGATGAAGACATCAAACTTCCCCCTCTCCCTAATTGATTTGTGACAATGACTAATTAAACCTAGCGGGGGGTGCTCTGATCCACTGTCTCAAAACGTCATTCATCACAGTAGGAGGGAGACATGTCTGATTATGTTTATGTGTAAGTGTGCGTGCCGTGTGTTCCGCTAGAACTGTTTGTGAGGAGGAGGGCACGGTTGTTGCAGTCGTTGCTGTAATCTGGAGAAACAAGTAGGTTGCTGATGCATGCGAGCAATTGGCTGGTGTCCGTGGGTTTTTCAAGTGTGTGATGCTGTCTGCAAGAAAATGTTTAATTTTTACATGCTCAACTGTCTCATCTTCTGACAGAATTATGGGGGCGTGTGGTGCCATATGCAATGTTTTATTGGAAGGGGGAGATAAAGAGAGACACAGATGGAGACGGCATAAATAGAAAATATATCAGAGATATGTTGAAGAGTAAACCCAGAGTGAAACTAAGTTCAACTGTCTTTTTTATTTTTTTATTGTTGCCTCAACAGTAATAATGTGAATTCATATTACTGTGAACTTGATGATGTGAAGATAGGGTTTTGAGAAAAGAAATATATATATATATCAGGGACGATCCGATCTAGTATCGGTATCGGGACCGATACCAGCGTAATTCACAGATCGGAATTTCCCGATCCAACCTGAGGAGACATCCGATCCATGAGCCATGTCTGCGCTTTAACATTGTCTGCTGAAATGACTCCACAAGTGATTCCTGCCGGTCAGTCTGCTAACTGGCTGCATACTGTGGAATGGATTTCCTAAACGGAGGCGCTGCTCAATGAGACACAGAGTTATGAGACATCCCTCCGCTCAGGAAATCCATTCCGCAGCTTGCAGCCAGCTAGCAAAGCCGTAATTCAGAGAGAAGGAAGCACCCTCGCGTCGTACAACACTACGAACGCAATCAAACATTTAAAAAAGCACCACACGAAAGAGCACAGGGATTTTTTTTAGCCAGCGGGCAGAAAGACAATAGGAGCTGTCAGGAATCACTTCTGGAGTCATTCCAAAAACAAGATAAACTCCAGGCAGACAACGTGAAAGCTAAAGGGATTAGTGTGTGTGTGTGTGTGTGTAAAATGTTTACACTTATTGCACTTTTCTTATATTTCTAATGTTTGACATTTTGGGAATTTAATAAATATTGACATGACAATCAATTTGAAACCCTTACAGTTGCATATTTGTTTTCAGGATGGGATTTTTCCTGTTAACAGGATTTCCTGTTTTTCTGACTTCCTTTTCTGACCTTATACTTACCTCAAGTTGCCTTTTGGGACATACATGCATACATACGTACATATCATACTTGCCTGTTGAGAGGAGTTTATTTCATCCTCATATAAAATCAACAATAATGATAATAATAATATTAAAGCAAACAAAGCTCTGGTATCGGAATAGTATCGGTATCGGCAGATATCCAAATTCAGGTATCAGGATTGGATCGGAAGTGAAAAAATGTGGAACGGTGCATCCCTAATATATATATATATATATTGCAGGCAGTAATCCTCATGATGATCACCGACTGTTATAGTTTTCCAGCTTTTCAGCTGCAATACTGAGAAGAGTAAAATGAGAAACAGAGAGAAAATGGAAGACAGAGACAAAACTGAAAAAAGTGAGTGAGTGAGTACTTATAGTTGGGGGGGGGCTTGGTTGGAGACAGACAGCACATATCCACTGAGTCGTGCTGCTTCATTACTTTGGCCTCATTTGCCAATTAAACCCCAGGCACCAATGAAGATAATGACAAAACGAGCCACTCTGCGCCCCAAGAAGTTATGGGATGTCACTGTGAGTCTGTCACATGACCCACAGGCCTTAAAGCACAAATGCACAAGCACACATGCACAATGTACACAATCTCCAAAACACATTAGCCAAGCTTAGCTTATAGGAAGCCTAATCAAAAACATATTTTTTGTTCCCCAGCACTGGGGGTCACTGAGCACACATTGCCGATGCGGCATATGCTCAGCTGGATTGGAGAGGCCATGGATAAGTGCACTGGGAGTATGCTCATTTGAACAATGGTCGCTATTAGCTGATGGGGATGTTCACAAATGCTCACCGGCCCACTTAATTGGGCTAAAATGTCCATTCAAATTAAATTCCCCGGGTGCGGAGATAACAACATCGCCCAATCCTGCAGAACAACGGCAGGGCTGTCGAATGAGAATGCTTGTCATATATAAAGAGAGGTCTCAGCATGTACTGGTGAATGTTATGTAAAGGAGAGCAAGAGATTGTAACAAGTGTTTCTATTATTTAAGGAAGGGAGCAGGACAGTTGAGGGTACAATGGAAAGCGCTGGAAGTCAGAGAGACAAATAGCAGGAATGCCCATTATAAGCTTATCATTACAGAACCACTGATAGGGCTCTGAATACCAAGCACGATAAAGATGAGGACAGTAAATTGAACTTGCAAATTTCTGTGTATAAGAGGGTTTGTACATCTCCTTTCATCCTCGTATCGCCTCTGATGTGAAGAAGTCAGTTTTTTTCCCCCCAAGATACAAACTCAGGCAGCATAACCAGGCTCCAGAAGAAGCTGTAGAGAATCACTCCATTTTGAAATCTGAGCCTTTTGATGGAGCAGAGACTGGCTGCAGATGACAGATGGATGGCTGAGAGACAACTAGGCTAGCAGACAGAAAGGTAGGAGACATAAAAAAACCCCTAGAAAAGATATAAGGGAATGAACAGAAAAAAGGGTGGATGTGTTTATTCCACTTCTAGAGGATTTACTTCTTTTCTGCCATTTGCTTAGGCAGGTGGGAACAATGCATTTGAAAAACCGTGCAAATTCCTCAAAATGCAGCTCTCAGTGCTCTGTCAAATAAACAGCTTGAACAGAAAATACAATTAAACCATCTAGTGGACTACTGACAATAATCCCATGATGTTAAGCTAGAGGTAACTACTGGCAATTAGATTTGTTTTAACTTTTTCTTACCAAAACCTCTAACCTGGCAAGACGAACCTGTACATCAAGTGACTTATTACAAATTGCAGCTTGTAATTAGGTGGCGGGAACTACTGAACAAAATACAAATGTAAAAAACACAAAAGAAGCAAACTTGGTTCCAGTATGATTCAGAACCTGATGCTGTTGTAGCCTAAATCGCAGGAGGCTAAATAACGGAAAGACAGACTGATAGATAATGGGTGTGAAAAGGAGGCAGGAGGAAGATGGAGAAGCCTTAGAGAATGAGTGTGGGATCGAATGTGCTCTGTTGTTAACACCGGGCTTTAGCTTGGATGAACACCAGACAGAAAGTGAGACAAAAGAGGAAAAAGGTAAAAAACCAATGAGAACTTCAAAACAGGATTTGTTTCCAACATAAAAACATTAAGTCCAACAACAGACATCATTTCTTAACTATTTGTCTTTTATAAATGGCTAATTGTTACATGGGGACATGGCAAACACATAAATATGGCTTTTAGGTAGTAATGAAAGCACATAATGTCAAACAGAATGATGTGGGAGCACTTCAAGGACATTTATGCTGCAGCATAAATTCAACTTCAAATTGCATAATTTGTGAATAGTTAATCTCTGTGTAGGCTGTGTGCCAATGTGACAATCTGCAGTCACTACACACATACATGTGTATATTAAAACACATAACTGCAAATGTGGGTTTTTTTTGTGTTTTTGTGCGAATGTATATGTGTTGGCTACCTGTTGTGAACCAAATTGCTCCTTGGGGACATTAAAGACATTTCAATTCAATTCAATTCAATTCAAATGTATGTTTCATCTTACATTACTAGAATGTTTTCACTATAAATGAATGCTTTGGTGTGACAAAGGAAGGTATTCATCAGGTGTGTGTGCTTATTTGCCAGTAGTAATATAACGTAGTGGTTTGCCAATAGGAGCTTTTGAAAGCCAATAATGGTAGTTTTGGATTAGAGCTGGTGCTAATTAGCGATTTTCACTACATTATCTTCCGAAAATAAGGATTTTGAAGTTTCTGCATACGTCGTTCTTTGCAAATAGCATTTAGTCTGTTAAAGCCACTGAAACAGCGGCCTCCAGCAAAGGTAATGAATTACTATGTATGTACGTAAGTACTTTGGCCTCTTTCCCAATAAAACCTATAGATTAGCCTAATGTTGTACTCACCACTGTCAATGCAGAGATAGCGGGCATGAGCACTTCACTGGAAACGGTCTTACAGCGGAAATCCAGTTAGGCCAATGATATACAAGCCTTAGATGGCCTTTTAACAGGTCAGCTTTTATCCAACAATCAAAAGTAGTTATTTGTCTAAATGAAGAACATTAAATGTTACTATTTCAATAGTTCACAAAGTCTTTTGCAATGTAAAGCTACATGTGTTTTCACTTTATTTTGTTGTTATTAAGGGGGAAGCGGTTAAAGCACTTGGACTACATTGCAATACTGAGTCCAGTATGTTTGAAATATCTAGTCAGTTTATGGTCATCACAATGTTATACTAACCTATTGTCAGTGAAAATGGAAATCTGCTTTTTACTGGAAGGCTGATGTGGACAAATATGGCCAAACATATTGTATATATATATATATATATACATCAGTTCAACTATGCCTATATATAGTGTGTTCATTTTTTTAATGTTACCAGTTTTGTTCCTCAGTGTATGTGTTGTGTGTAATTCCTGTACCTGGAGTTTGGAAGTTGATGCGTCTCATCTCCACAGGGTCTGTAGGATGGTGGGGTGTAATGTCTGCGTTGTTCAGCAGGCATTTTGTTCTTGGCTCTGACTCTTTTCTTTTGCGGCTGTAGAGTAAGACAAACAAATAGTAGAAAGAGGGGAAGACATACAACAAAAACAAAAGAGTAACTTTCTGTGAGAAAAAACTGGAGAGCTGAGTATCAAGTACGGAAAATTCTCCTTCACCCTCACTAATTAAAGCCATATTTTTTGCTGAGGCAGGCTATTTTGTCTCCCCTGTAAAATGCAATAAAGTACAGCCAAACCTTACCTGTCAGGTTTGCTGTTTCCATAGAAAGCAATAGGAGTCAAATAAATATATAAAGATGGTGAAAACACAACACACAAGGAGAAAGGGAACAGGGGGAGGCAAGAAGAGAGATAAATCAATAGAGAGCAGTTTAAAATTCAAAGGGGTCGCTGCTGGGCTCGCAAAACGCGAGATAAAGCTAATCAGCATTTGGAGGAGGTGTGTGCATGCGTGTGCATGTCTGCACATGTATCAGTGTGTGAGAACAAGTGAGTATTCAGTAAAATGCATACATTTGTGAGCCTGTGCCTGTGTGTCTATGTGCCTGTGTGTGCTATTGTGTGTCAGGAGGGTGCAGGTACAGATGGGAAAGGGGAATGTCAGGGCCAAGGGCAGACCCGGGAAACACTATTCACCAGGGAGAGATGGACGGGGACATAGGAGAGCGAGGGGGAGAGAAAGAGAAGAGAGAAAAAAGAGAGAGATCCAAGGAGAGATGTTACTCTCCCTAACCACCAAGATGGAGGTAATGCAAGGTCAGACAGTCAGGGATCATCTGACAGTAGCAAGCTGTACTTGTGTTGCTCACACCAGCCCTGGCCCCATAAAATGATTCAGGTATATAGGACGACCTCTTACACCACTGTTCAGTTGGGACTTGCAGTCACTGTGACTAAAAGCTACAACTGACTGTAAAACAAGGGGGGGATATTGACAGTCTATGTTGCAAAGCCCCAGGACACTGAGGAATAGTACATTAATTTAGACTTGTTACAGGAAGAGGTTCATTAAGCATAACAGCAGAGTTTGATGTCCACCACTAGAAACTAGGTTCACTCACTAATGAAAATATATTATTAGCATACACTTCAAACGTCAAATAATGGTTAAAACCACTAGTATTTAACTTGGGCAACACTGGAATAATATATTATTGAGAATTCTTTGCAGAATGAAGGTATTGTTTTAAATATAAGTATACCTCTTTAAATACATATCTGTGACAGCTCTCGATTGGTAGATTGTACAATTCTTAGTCCAATTATTGAGCACCATCTCAAAGAATCTCCTCCTCTCTCCTCTCTCCAGCCCCCTCACTTCCCACAACCATCTTTTTCACAACAAAAGCTCTTTCATATTTACATGCAACAATGTTGTTGGGTCTTTGAATATCATGCTGCTATGAATACAGAATAAGCCCCTCTTTCAACATGCTCCCTAACATGCAATTATTTCCCAATAGCCCAATTCCCCAGTAACACTGCAAATAACTAGTTCAACATCAAATGGCAAAAAAAAATCTTCATTGTGTTTTTCTGGATGAGAAAAAGACCCTGAAATTTGCAGCACATTTACCATAATTTAGTAGCAAACATGGATCCCAGTTATATTGCTTGTGTAGACCAATGGGTGGTGCAAGGCACTAACAATGCACTGCAAAGGGTTCAGTTCCCTGTGTATCCTAATGATAAAGAGGATGGTTATATATATATATATAAGATCCAATTTATTTCTAGAATAAAGCATTTTACACTGGCCACTCTTTACAAAATGTCAATGTCCTGTATACTAACACTAACACTAACTGCGTGTTATTTTCTATCATTTGAGGTTGAACAATGTTATTTCATTTATACTGTAAAGTCAAAATGTAGGTTCAACTACATAAAAAAGCAAATCCCAAACCAACTCACTTTTTATACAGGAGAATGGCAATAACGATGCAGATGATGAAAACGACAGCCAGGACTGGGCCCACCACCCATATGAGTCCGTCACCAGGCTCTACTGGATGGACTGGGCCCTCCGGCTCAGGAGTCATTACTGTGTCGGTATAAGGGCTGGTAGCAAACATTTTCTGAACAGAAAAATTGTGTAGAGGTTAACATAGCATATAAAACACAATCCAGATTACAGTATGTTATATCTAAGAGCTGAATGAAGTTCAGTGAGTTTAAGTTAACTCAGAGTATCCAAAAACACTGAGTAATTGAACGGCACCATATTAAATAGTAAATAAATGTGTTAGATTCGGATGACCAAAACTGAAGTGAACTAAAGTGGATGAAATGAACAGAACTGAATTATTAAATCCACAGAAATTGACTTAAAGTAAGTTAACTGAACTGTGTTAAACTGTGTTGAACTGGGCTGAACGAGTAACTCACCCCGGTTGTGGTATTGAGTTCAGCCAGCAGGAAAAAGACATACTCATGGCCAGGTTCAAGAGGCTTGTTCTCACAGATGCTGTTGCGGTGGTCAGATCCCACCGTGAAGCTGGAGGGCAGCTGCCTGAAGCAGGCTGTGATGTAGGGTTTCCTCTGGTCCAGCTGAGCCAGCTGACGACGTGAACGGCGCTTTGGAGTCACATCCCGCAACAGCTGATCGATACAAGGGCATTAGTTTACTTTAGCTTTTTTACGTGTTCCTTTTTGTTCTCTTCTGTTTTTTTTAGTTTCTATAGCATTAGCCGTTCTTGGCAGATCTTTTAAAATAACTAAAACTAGAGAACAACTAAGTCAGAGCTAAGTTGCTTATGTTGCTTATGTTTTCAAATGCTGTCAAAGGGTTTGTGAACACCAGACTACAAAAGGCCAAGAGAAGGAGATTCTTTCAAAGACGTTTTCATGAGAATATATCTATATGGTTTGTTCAATTAAAATGATGGGATCACCCCAAGCCCGCTGATAAATATTTGTAACTTGGCATGATTACAGGTTTCAAGAACAAGAATCCTTTCAGTGAACTGAATGAGACCAAAGAAAACCAACTATAGGTATAACCCTTAGATTCAAAATGCTGCCAACTGTCTGGCAATGTTCCATGTAACCAGGCTCCAACCCCCCCAACATCCAACCCCTCGCACTCATTTCAAACTGCAGACAGAGGCAGGCACTAAGCAGAGGGAATGTGTGTAATCCCAAATCCAATAGGGATGGTTGCTGTTGATCTGGCATTCAAGGTGACCCTGGGCTATGGGAAGAGTGGGAGAAGACTGTGTAATTCTCTCTTCTGCATGCTTGGGGGGATAAATTAGCATAGTTGAGATGTACTTATGTCTGTGTTGTGATACATGGTGTGTACAATACAATTTTCCTTGCACATGCAACTGTTAATAACACAAGCATGAGTCTATTAAAACACAGTTTTGTCGGGGGAGGGAAAAGAGGACAGTCTTTTCAAAAAAGCTTTGAAGTTTTCCTATTACATATGCTTCATTCTTTTTGACCCAGTGCACCCAATTAAACGAATAATTTCACGTGCGCCAGAATAACAACTTTTGATTTCAAAATATATACTACCTCTTCCATGTCCATCTCATCAGGGTTCTTCAGGTTTTTGACAGTTCCTAAGGTCCTCTTAAGTGGCACCGCAACCACATAGAAGTTCCTAAAAACACAGCACCAAAGTAAATTACCCAAAAAATCCTAGTGACTCTTTCTTGATATTGTACAGCATTTTAGGTGAAAACATTTACCATAAGATTGACAGGAAATTGAAATGAGAATTTAATACCTGCAAGAGGTATAACAATAAGCATGTCAGAAATCCTAAGACCTAAACTTCCAATTCAACATGTCAGACATCTTGAGATCTCAATCCATATCACATCAGATGTCAAGCATCTCGAGACTTAAACTTAAATACCTCAACCATCAAAGATAATTCAGACAGAGCTTGAAGAACCCATCTTTTAGCACACTATACTCACTTGACATCCTTGTTATCGACCGGTGGGAAGGACATGGTGAGCATGTTGTCAGACTCAGCGTAAATGTCCAGCTTGGGTTTCTTGACTAGGATGAGTGGCGCGGTCTTGGCAACCACACGGTGTCTTGGCCCACCATCCATGCTTTCTTGGCAGGTCACTCTGAACTCGTAGGTGGTGTTGTGCTTTAGCCCAGCGATGAGTACCCTCATCTGCTTGGCATCCACCTCCATCCTTTGACGGTTGTACTCAATCTGGAGTTCAATAGATGGTCCAGAGTTTTAATTGAAAATCGTTAAGAGGGATAGTTGGATGTATGATTATGTCGGTAGGTCAACAGAATAATGGTTGTAGAGACACTGATGAGGCAGATTTCGGTAAGAAGGGATGTGCATTTTGATGATTACACGAGTGAGAGAATGGATATGTTGGAAATTAGTATGATAGGGAGGTGAATTAATGCACTGAAAATGCCATTAAACAAATTGCACTGGTATATCAAACAGTTTTCAGTTTCAGAGAAACAGATGAAAATGATTTCTTAAGTTCAGTGTGGAATTTTTATGGAATGTTTATATATAAGGTTATAACTCACCGTGCATTTGTAAGGAGACCTACTTTCAGAAAACTTCCATGCAAGGACCACTGTGGTCTTGGTGGCCCACTTGACTGTGAAATTCTTTGGAACGTCTGTTGAGTGAACAAATGCAAGAAAAAAAAAAAAAAAAAAAACAGTGTGTCAGTGAACTGAACATGTAGAGAGACCAAGGGAAGAGAAACAAAAGAAGAAACTTTGGTTTGACAGAAAAAGCTGTTGTTCCCCTGCAACGTTCCTCTGGGTTGGAGAGTGAGTGTAACGGTGAGCTGTGATTGGCTGTGAGAAGGGCAACGCCATTGGTTAAGACACACAGCACGTAAGACTCATGGACGACAAAACCCATGGAGCACAAGGGTGCGCCCACTGGCTAGCATTCATGGGTAGTGCCAACCCATCTCACTACTGTCTTTGAACCCTTGACCATTTGAGGATTAACAACTGACCCATGTGGTCCCAGCGCCAACTGTTACTATGCCTCTACTGAGTCTGGGTTGGCACTGCCAACGTGCTGCCAGACAGGCATAAAGACAGACCCAAAACACAGCATGCCAACAGTCCTCAGCAGTGCATCTGGGGGATGCCATGCCACAAGCTGTCCCATTAAGGGACAGGGGAAGGGGAAACAAGGAATTAGGAAAGGAAGGGGGTAAGGAAGGGAGGTATATCTCAAAACAAACCCAAAACCAAAAATAAAATAAAGAACCAAAATCAGCTTTCTGTCATCTTAGAATAGTCTGAACATACTTTTAAAGAGACTGGGTTTGACTGAGGTCCTACCTTGTTTGAAAACTGGGGATGTGAGATGGCATTAGCTGTGTGAGTGTGCTTGGCAAAGGGTTGCAAGGATGACTGACAGGAGTGTCTGACCAAACAGCACTTACCTTGAAATTCTAGGCTGCTCTCCTCTTTCTCAAAATGACTGACTATAGCTTACTGACTGGGTTTTACCTTGTTTGGGTTAGTGAAGTGAGTATCCCACGGCAAACAATTTTAATTTTAATTCTTTTTTCTTTCTTGAGGAGTGGAGGTAGTTGAAGGTTGAAGGAGGGGGTGGGGCAATTTTCATTTTTGTGTTGTTGCAGATTGCTTTTAGCCTATATCCAACCCCCTGTCAACCGGGTTGGGAAAGAAACAGGCAAGCCCTACCTTTTGGATTAAAGGCCACCGTCCGATACTGGATAGGTGGGCTGTAGGGCCCTGGACCTACACTGGTGTGTGCACGTATTTTCACATCGTATGCCGAGTTCGGTTTGAGGCTGTTGAGCACATAGCTGGACAGGCTGGGGGGCAAGCGGAGCTCCTGGGGTGCTCCTCCGGTACCGGCTTCCTTATAGGCCAAAGTGTACTCTGTGATTACCCCGTTTCTCTCCGCCAGCACAGGTGGAGACCAGGACAGCTGCACAGAGCAGCATGTCACATTGGAGCCCTCGTCAATTTGAGGGTATCCCCCTGGCGTATTCTCGGGTACACTGAGTTCCACCACGGCCTCTTCCCCAAAGCCCCCCCTGCTCTTGGCTGAGATTTTAAAGAGATAGGTGGCCCCTCGGTGAATGTTGACCACAGAGTATTGTCGTTCTTGGGGAGCAAATTCCAGTGTGGCTAAAGGAGAGACATCTTTCCGGCCAAACTGGAGCCGGTAACCCTGCAGGTCCATGCCATTGGTCAGATCAGGAGGGTCCCAGCGAACCACAGCTGATGTGTCGGAGTCCTGAGCCACTGACAGATAGGGTGGACCAGGCACTGTACAATCAAAGAAGAGAAAACAAAACTTAAATTTCTGTGTTTTCCAGTTATATGAAGATGTATATTTTTAACCCAACAAGCTTCAATACTATATATATGTAGATGTCAATCACAAACTGAACAGACACCAGGAATATTACAGTAGCTGTGTTGAGGAAACTATTAGGCACCACTTTTGTTATCCCAATTATATCATGGTCACTTGCCAACAATAAGCAATGTAATTTAATTAAAAATGAGAATAATTTATTGTTCTAAACATTAATTGTGAAATATGGTTTCTGTTCCTTGACACAAACACTATACTACTAAAGCATTAATTTAGCAAGGCAAACAAATACCTGCCCAATTATAGTGTATGGTACAATAAGAAGAAGAATGGACATAGACTGCCAACCATTGAGAATCAAGAATTTTCGGTGACTATAGTCGATATAAACAGAGTACAGAATCTACAATTACTGTAATAATTTTAATTTCAGTCATTCATTAGATAACATCCTAACAAACTGAGTCAGGTTGTGTTGCATAGAGATGTGGAAGATCCTCAGAGCCTCTAAATTCTTGAGTGATCGCTGTACCCATTACCATTTCATGATACATGTAAGCTCCAGCCAAAATCATTTCTGTACTGCAAAGCATCACTAAAACTTTGAGCAGAGAACAGTGCCTCTTTCAGCTGTAAGAGTCATCTCTTGTTGTAAAATGGATGATCTACACTTGGGGTCTAGACACCATTCTTCACCATGGCCCAGTTTTGCTACTCTTATGGATGACACACGTCTTATCTTAACTCTCCTTTTAAGGCCCCATCAGTGTGATAGAGGCAGCAGCAGTTATGGGAAGCCTTCAGTTCTCAAGTTGCCGTCAAAGCTTTGTGAGAGATGAGTGTGGCTGATTCGCACTTGAGCCCCATCTCTCTGTAAATAGATTCTATCTTGTCTCACTCATCTATGTCCCTTCTCTTTCAGAAATACAAGACAGTCTGCAGGACAGATAACAGGCAAATAGGTAACAATTGTAGACATACACACCCTTAGTGATGTACTCAATTACAAATACTTGTTATACTTATTTTTGTATTATAAGACTTACTGATTGAAAAATATAAAGCAGATAATACCACACTGTCAATTTATTTACCATTTTAAATTTAATTTCATGCTTATTCATGAGATTGTGAGACCATTGGTGAGAATATTGGCCATCTCTGAACATTTCCGATTCAAAAAGCTTGCCAACTGGGTCGGCAAACTGGGTCGGCAGCAAATTGGTTGGTCCTGGCAGTGAGAGCTTTAAAAACGCAGAATAAGTTGAATGTAAATTATTAACTCTAGTTTAATGTGCAACATACATTTCATCATAATCTTAAACAGATTTAGAAAATTACAGATACATTTGCCTTGTTCATCACTATACATTTAAAGTTTGTCAACTATTACACTACATGACTTTAAACTGTAACATCTATTTGAGCCCCCCCCAAATTGTGTCAATTTGTGTACATCAGTTTGTGTGTATCTTTGTGCATAATGGACAGTGTGTATGCCCATGTATGTGTTTGTGTGTGTGACAGTATAGGCCCTGGTTTGCAGCCAGCTCCAGCTCCTATATCACCATTCCACCTGCACATAAAGCTATTTGGCTTGTTGCCCAGGATGGACTTAAACTAATTTGGAGAAGATACCATTAGTACGAGGAAAAGTATTCCCTCCCAGTGGAACAGTATCATTGTGCGTGTCTGTGTACATGTGCCTACATATAGTATATATTCCTGCGCCAAGATGCAAGTCTTAATGTGCGTGTAGTAAAAACACACACACAAAGTAATCCACTCTACACAGTCTCCCTCTGCTCGTATTATTCATTTCCGTTTGCTAATGGTCCTCTTTCTGAAGGCTGTTGCTAGAGGAAGACGGGGATTGGTGGGTGGATGGTGGCTAGTCAGCTGAGCCTTTACTGGTAATGGAAAGGCGGGGGCGCCGAGTGCTGCGTGAGACGAATGCTCCTAATACTCCTCGGCTACATACTATAGCTCAGCTTGGTGTCATTTCAAATCCCACTCTGCCTTCATGCTCACCGCTAATCAAGGAAATAGAATCAGAGATAATGATCCTGTGATGACTCTGTGTGTGTCTGTGTTTTCCATTTTAAATTTCTGTGCTTCGATTCTAACCTCAACAGGCTTCCAAATGTATCCATTACAACATTTGTGGCCCTGAAACTATTTCATTATTTGTGCATTTAAAACAGTGGCCTATTGCACACTGGGGGGAAAGATCACGGCTCCTGAAACAGCAGATTGGTGTTGGTGGGAGGACGGGGGGGTGTTGTTCATGGTGTGTAGAGTGTGTGTGTTTGAATATGTGTGTGTGTAGAGTGTGTGTGTGTGTGTGTGTGTGTGTGTGTGTGTGTGTGTGTGTGTGTGTGTGGTGCTACAGGGTGATGAGAGATAGAGCAAGGGCATGGTGAGGGGGTACAAAAATGAAATGAGTGAATGAGGGATGATGAAGGTGACTGGGGACAAGGAGCAATCTGCTGCAAAGAGGGCCCAACAAGGATATGAGGAGGCAGATATAGTGTGTGTGTGTGTGTGTGTGTGTGTGTGTGTGTGTGTGTATGTGTGTGCGGGTGTGTCTACATGAGTGATTCCGGGGTTCTTGGACACCTTGATTGTCCCTTTCCTCCTTTCCTCAGTGTTCATCTCTCTCCCCCCAACACTCGCCTTATTCTTTCCCCATCTCTCCACTTCTCCCCTTCCACACTGCCCAATCCCCCCTTTCATTTCCTAACCTCCTCCCTCATCCCTCACCCCACCAGCACCTCCACCCCTCTCTCTCTCTCTACATCCATTTCAGGGTCGACCCTGGTTCAATCCCTCCTTGTGGGCCTCACGGCACGTTTCCCATCAGGCCACAGTATTAACAGCCTGCTGTTGACACTCACTCAGCCTGATTGAGAAAGGGGTGATCAGGTTTCCTTCTCATTTCCTCCCTCTCTCGTGCACACTCACACCAACATATACATATGACCGAACATATTACCTCCGAACTAGCCTGCAAATGACATGGTGCATCAATGTACTTTTTAATCATCTGTTGCCCCGCATGTAAGGATCTCTGCTTTGAGCTGAACTACTTCACAATAATAAAAAAAATCTCCCTCTGATTAACCTGTGGCTATAGCCTGCCTGTAAAGACTTAACATATCCAGGTACACCGTAGGGGTAAGGTCATGACAAATCCATCACTCTCTCATCTTTGTTTCCCTCTGCTTTTAATTTAGTCTGCTTACTGAAGGAGTTTATGTGTGTATGTCACATAGGGAGTGGGTGGGTGGTAGGAGAGTAAATGCCACGGAGTCAAATATGCACCAAATTTTACATGGCCTATTTGGAGTGCAAGAAGCAAGAGAGAGAGAGAGAGAGAGAGAGAGAGAGAGAGAGAGAGAGAGAGAGAGAGAGAGAGAAAAGAATGAGTGAGGTCCATTACATTTATGGTTTCTCACTGGACCAAAATAACAATCAGGAAGTAACTAAACATGCAATGAGGGGATCAGGGCTGATCTTTCTGTCTGCAGTCAGCATCGGAATAAGTATACACACCTTTTCAAACAAACACACATGCATACCTCAGCATTCTTTCACAGGACGCAACAATTTAAATTATGTGGTTGGAAGGATGGGAGTTTGTAAGCTGTCAAGATATTACAAGGGCAGGATACCCTTAATGTCTTCAGTGCCTGTCTTACAACAGTGTGACTGAGTTCACTTGAATCCATACCCGATCTGAATCACAATACAATAATGGATAATGCAAACCACTTCACATAATTACAAACAGGACAAATAAAACCTCCAAATATAATTTCATTTATCCGTCTATCACTACCCCATCATTACCTGACGGCACAAAATGATACATTGTAACTAACTGCCAAAACAATGCACTATCAATTCATACAGTACTGTATATAATGCACAGTACTGGCAAGAATAGAACTGAAATATTTTATCAATATTACCTTTCATGACCTCGGAGTTTATTAATTCTTCAACATTCAGCTACTTGTGCTGCCATTTGGGCCCACCAATACTGTCTGTGTTGCCAAAGCAGCTTTGAATTACTATAGGTTTATAGTGCCAACACTGTACTTGGTATTTATAATGTTTATAGTGTTTTTTAATAAGATTGCGACTCATTCCACCCTCATATAAGGATCCACACATACATCAGACATCTTGGTCTGCCAAGAATCTTCCATTTTTATAAGACTTATTTAGAGTTTTTTCCTTGTGCCGTAGGCTCAGAGGGTTAGAGGTGCTGGACTGCATACTCTAGGCTACCTTCATAACATGCTGTTTCAGTTTGTTTTGAGTTTGTTGATTGGTTAGTTCAACTTAGTTTTTTTTTAAATAGTGGACATTATACATTATTTTTTATTATTTTCCACTTGAACTTGAACATGAAAAGAAGATAAAAATGGATGGTCATTGATTGTTGCAGTGAAAAAACTCCAGATGGGATGGGCAGAATAACATTTTCTGACACAAACATTTTAATCTTTTGTCAATAAAGACTCCTTTTGGTCCCCTCAAAAACACTTGGATTGGCCATGGTTAAGTTTGCTTCTGAAAGCAAGAGTTTGGAAAGTATGAATCATGAAAAGGCACTTTTGAAACCTTGGCTTTCATTCAGCAAACAAAGACAGTTCCAGCCACAAAATGGATTTTGTTTGTCTGTGACTCACAAAAAGGTGCACAGTTCTTCTTGTTTTTGTGTCCTACAAAATCCTGATAGATTCTGTTGGATACGTTCTGATACACCAAACGACCAGAGAAGCTTTTTGGAAAGTCTGGAAGATGAAAATACAAGTCCATTTATGTGAATCGACTTATAAGTGCAACGAAAACATACTATTTTTGTCATTATGTTATGTATTGATGTTGGTTTTCAGGCCTTTATGTTTCCTAAAAAGAACAAGACTGTGACGTAATAGCTTCTAGAGGCAACTGCTCACTTAAAGTGCACGCTTGTGTTTCATACACAAGCATGCACTTAAAGTGAGCAGTTTTTTAAGATTTTAAGACCTGTTGCATTAATCGTGTGTGTTCTTAAATTGTATACATGCAAAAGCATTCATGTGGTAGAATATTAAATTTTTTTCACACTTTTAAGGTGCACCACTTTATGAATGAGTTTACACAAACATAAACTACATAACGCAGTTTTGCAGAGGACATGTAATCATTAATTTATATGGTGAAGAACACAGGTCAAAACATCAAATATATCTGGGTTGTCATTTGATTTTGAGGTCCATTTTCAATATGCATTCCATTAAGATCCAAATTAGGATTAATGTGTTTTTTCTATGTAGCACTAATTTTACATTCACATTTTAGATATTCAGCTAGCAGAGTATAAGAGTGAATTCAAATGAGCAAGTTGTAAAAAGCTTGTTGGCACTCTGTTCTGTATAAATCAGTGACTTTGTCTAGTTGTTTGTTCATGTTGTTTTCAGCCCAAAAATGCTCTAAAGCTGTCCACTTAGGTTGAGATTATAACAAAACTGCAACATAATACAAAAGATTTGGACACCTTTCTGAAAAGTAAGCCATTTTTAATCTCACTGACATCTAATTTAGTCCCCGGAGAACATGAATAAATTCCCTGTTGTTCACTGCCAGATACAAAACCTTCACTAGGATCACTAGGCCATCCTAAAATCCCTCTGAACTAGAAGGACAACCACTTCACCTCTGAAAAAAAGGCTGCTGAGGGTCGTCTTCTCCCCACCTCTCACCCCTTCCCCTTTTCTATTTATCTTGGCCCCCTGGCATAAACCATTTCTTTACACTTTAATAATAAAAAAGGAGAGGCTTTCCCTCTGAGGGACAGCCAGAGAGCTTAAGACTGGCATATCAGGCAGCCGGCCCTGAGAGGAGAATGGAGAGTGACAGCACTCACTCAAGCCCCTTTGGCAAGTCCCTGACACCCGTAACACACACACACACCTAGTCAGGATCTGTGAAATTTCCCTATGTTTGTGTGTGTGTGTTGGGTTGCAATAATGTGTCATGTGTGTATCTATTGGTGTGTTGGTTGGTTTTGTTTTGTTATCATGTGCCACAGTGTGCCTGCATATACATTACATGTGATTGGTAGTGGAGACTAGGTATGTATGTAGGCATACAGTATATATAAGTATGTATGCAGTTGTGCAAATATTGACTCTCTGAAGCTTCCCAAAGCTGACTGGCACAGATGCTTACACTAAAGGACACTCCCATTCTTGGCTCAACGTCTTAAATTCTCTCTTCACACTCTCAGGCGGCCAGCCTCACAGGTTTAGATCATGCTCATGGTAACTAAGCTGCTAGCTTCCAAACAGGCTCAAGCAGTCTGGTTAAACTGGTGTGCCGACTGGTGGTAACAAGGGAAAAATTGAAGAAGGCTTTGTAGTGTGCAGGCATTAGCCTCCAGTTTTTTATCCTTAAAGCTCAAACCAACGACCCAACAGGGGTTTTCAAGCTGTCATAATCTGTCGGAAAAATCTCCAAGTACCTTATACCACCTCTTTGATCTCTAAGATCTGTGGATAGCCTTCTGAACATGATTCAAATGATAAACGCTGCCGTGATAGAAGCAAACATCAACTCAACTGACTGAACTGTTCTTGAATTCAGATATGCCTCAGACTGGTTAATTTGGAAAACATGTCTTAAATGAAATTCGTTTGAAAATTTAAAAACATGTATTTTCTGAAGCAAAAGTCTTAAGATAAGAAAAATGTTCCTTTAAGAATGCCAAATGCACTCAATTAAATGTCATGCAATTCTTGCATCGGTACATGTCTGCATTTCTGAATTGTTTTGGATCAGTTAAATGCACCACAGTATGGCTGTAAAGCCTAGCAGAAACAGCTGGATGGGAATGATGGAACCCTTGAGCAAGCAATCCACTACTTTCATTGCTGCATGAATAAAAGTAAAACAAAAAAAATATTTTTCGTTGTACTGACCTGCCCCTTTGGTCACCACCAGTTTGGGTTTACTCCGGGCTCCATCCCCCTTGGTGGTGTACGCAGCCACCGTGATGGAGTAAGTGGTGTCTGGTTTGAGTCCTCCAATGACCATTTCCTTTGGGAAATAGGGAAGAGAAAGGGAACAGGGAAATGTCAAAGTGTGTCTTGAATTTTTGATGATTTGAACCCCCTACATGCAATTCAAACTGCCTTTTACAGAAAGTTAATCTGAGTGGAGTGTCTCCTGGTCCTTTTTATTAATTTTCACGAGGCATGCATTAAATGTAACGTTTTTCCCCTACGTAATGGGAGACCATTCCATTAAGTAAATCCGTAGAGTTGCCAAGGTGGAGGAGGGACATTACGTATGTAAATGGATAGTAGCCCCCCTTATTCCTTAAGCAATATTCCAATCAACAACTTAACTTTGTGATAAATGCATGCTGAATACATCCTGCCCATTCGCTGGGAGTTTTTACCTCAGCCATTAAGTTTCCTTGAGTCCTCTTCAAAGAGAGGCTTCCGATCAATTCTAATGAATCTTTCAAGGGAGCAGGTTTGAACGAATGCAGAATGAGGTTTTTAACAGGCTGGTTGGCAGAGGGATGGGAGAGGTCAATAAAGGTAAATGAGCTATAAGTACTGTCTTGCACTTGAGATGGTATTCACGTAATGCAGATGGAGTGGGGTTTCAAATCTGGGTTCAAAATATGGGTACAATTTATTGAAAAAAAAAATTCTGCAGTTGTGAATGATCATCAGAGATGTGATGAAGATTTTACAAGAACGTGTGTGAACACGGCACAGACATTCTAAGGCACCACGGAAAATTAAGTAAGATCATGGTTTAAAAAAATCACACACACAAAAAAGAAGAAAGAAAACACACCACAAGAGCACAAGACAAAACATACTGTATCAACACACAGCATGACAGAAGTAGCATTAGCATTCCAGGCACAGTGGGCAGTGGATATTGCATCAGCCACCATTCTGTAGAAGCTAGTTGGCGAATTTTTTTTGCGCAGTGGCATACGAAGATAGTGAAAAAGCTGGGCAGCCAGACAGCTGAGGTGATACCTCTGAGCCACTTTGTTATCCAAACTTATTGAATAAAGATTGGAGGGGTTGTGTAAACTGTGCATCCATCTAGGTTGATGCAATACCCACTGTTTATACCCTTTCAGCTACACAAAGCACTCAGGCGAAACTTTGTACTCACATATTCAGCTGTATCGTCCGTTTCCCACTAACCCCCCCCGCCAAAGAGGAGAGTGCAGGAGAAAAAGTAATATTTTGTAAAAGAAAGAGAGGAAGAAAAGAAAGGGAAGAAATAGGATTGTGAGAGACGGGGGCATTAGAGGTTCAGGAGCAGAGAGTCAGAAATAGGTCACTGGTTTTGTGAGGTCAGGAGAGAGAGAAGCTGTTTGAAGCTTATGTTATGGGGAGCAGCTGAAACAAGGCTGAGAATTGTAGAGGTCTGCCTGTGGGGCCTGGAGCTGTTTAACCATGTTACTGTGCATCTGACAATAAGCTACCTCAGTGTTAAATCATTGATAGCTACAGCCTGTGGTGACCTTGAGATGTAGCTTTTAAGGGTTTAAAAATGGGGTCTTTTTTGAACATATTAACAAAACTAACGGCAAAACGGACTAAATTAAAAATATACTTTTGCTGGGCAGCATTTATTGACTACTGGGCGCATGCTTGGATCTTATAATTCAAGGTATTTAAGCTCATTCTACTCTTGGATCTGTGGCTCAGCTAAATTCCAAAAATGGTGGTGCATTTGGCCCAAGCGGACCCTTCATTCATGTGGAAAAAATAGATTTTGATTCATTCCTTCCCAAAATATGTAGCATTGCATACAGCTATTCTTTTCTGTGTTGTTTACCGTATTGCTTCAAGGCTGTAATTTCCATTTGGATGATTGCTACTGTGCACAAAAGTCTCACTTTTTGGCAGCATTCCTCCATCATTGTGTTGACAGAAGTTTTGTAAAAAGAAAAAAAAAGGCTATTAAAAGGCCTCCATTACAATTCTAGCTGTCAGTGGAGGCTGATTTTTGGTTGAAATGTTTTCATGCCAATTTTATTTTTGCCCCCCTGTCACAGAAAACTATAATCAGCATTTTCTTTCAGTCTTTGCATTTGGTAAAAGCACACAATCAGACATTTCATGGCAGATGTTGCTATAAGATGGGGTCTAGACATTCCTAATAAAAGTCATGGAGCCAGGAAGAGGGGAGGATAAGACGAGTGAAGATTTGATTACAGTTCTTCTTGCGGGTTAAGGGGGAAAGAATACTGCAGCAATATGAAATCCAAGGGAAGAGCACCAATATCGCTTTTCTATACCAATATCGCTTTTCTATACTCCATCAGTGTTACTGTGTTGCTTTAACCCGCTTTATTGATGAAGTCTCTTTGTATCACTACTGAATCAGATTTAAAGGCAGACCTGGGCATATTTGGTGGAATTTACCTTTTTATGACATAACTGATTTGTACTGAGGATGGTCATACCTGGGCATCGGCCAGCATGACGTCCTTGATGTGGGGCAGGCCCCGTGACTCGCCATTTTCCACACGCACATAATGAACCTGGTAGCCACGGATCTGACCGTGCTGCTTGCCTGGCGTCAGGGAGCGCCACATCACCTTTAGTGCTGTGGAGTTGAGGACTTCCACCTCCACCCGCCTCGGAGGAGCCCCAGGAACTGCAGGTGACGAAAAACAAAAAACATTTTTTAATCATTTTGTCATGTGTATTACTGAAACATTATGATTCTAATCTACTATTTTTTTTATTTGAGTGGCAATGTGGAAAATTAGATGTAAAATTAGAACAAAAAAACACACTCCAGCGTCAGTTTTCTTGCAGTACCATATCCCCCAACACACATGCACATATTATCACCACATTTTTCTGTCTCCTACATCTTTTCAATACATGTCTTCTCTGTCTCTTTGCCATCAGTGAGAAGCTCTCAGTCATAATGACAGGCCTTTATGGAAGGCCTTGCTTCCAGGCCTTTCGGTGTGCCATGGACTGGCCCTTTCTGAGATGGATGTGCCATTAATAGAACTCTTCCACTCAAACTGCTTCCATTTGCTCATCCACAAACACTTCAAGTCCCCCTTCTTTCCCCCTAAATCACAACCCCATTTCCCCCATCTGCCGCAGGATCATGTACCAATCTTGTTTATTACCGAAATCTTTTCTACCTTTTAGCTCTGGCTCTTACTTCTTTACCTGGCACTTCTCTGTCATGCGTTATTATCGTAACGACACTGGAAATTTTGTTATAGCTATTGTGTGAAATGGATCGTGGAGGATAGAAGCCATTGTCAGCCATCCATCAATGATTCAGATCTGCTATGACATTTCCACATCTTTACTTGTCAGTTTATGTATTGTATTTCAACTGCTTTGTCATTTAGTTTCTGCTATACAATTTAGCTGTATCATTGTTTTGGTTCTTTTGGGTTTGAGATGTTTTTGCATATTGGCTTTTCTGTTTTTTTTTCAAGCACAATCTACAGTTTTTGTGCCTAAATGGTGCACAGTGGTTGCACAGGAAAGTGTTTTGAATGAACAGCAGTTCATGTAACCAAAATTCTATTTGTCTATCTACATTTTCTGCATTCTGATACTGTCAATTGAGCATATTTGCTCTTTTTCCATAACAGCTTGCTTTACGCCCATACAGTCATGCCCAGTGCACTCACAGTATTTTTGTTTCAGTGGAGCAGGTTAGCCACGCAAGTAGTTACTGAGGACAGTGAGGACGTTATCAATTCTTCTTCAACTACATTTTCAAGTAAGGGACCTGAGTTGCAACCTCAGTGTACACACACCTGCTGGTTTAACCTCCAACCTACTGCTGCCACCATAAATACACTGACAGATATGGCCTTGCCGTGTACAGCCCTCATAAATGCTTATGGCTCTCTGCTGAGCAATGGAATACTATTAAAAGCCTACAGATAGAGGCAGGATATGGGATGTGGTAGCTATTATGAATTACATTTGGTTAGTTATGTTTTAATAGCAACTCACTTGATTTCCCAAGTGTGTTATCTAGTGTTTTTGTTTCATATGAATGACACAGTTGTATATGGTCTTGTTACTTATGGTCGTTGGAAGGACCATTCTACCCAGACAAAATTTTGTGTATTTAGAAAAGTTTAGACTGAGTTCTGGAATCTATAGCACTTTTTTGATTTCTTTCTAATGGAATAAAAGAATGGACATGCACATGCACACGTGTATAAACAACAATTTCTTCACACAAATATACACCCACTGTCATGGGCACACTTGCTACCAAACTAACAAACAACGCGTTCATTTCTACATTACGTTTAGATTCTACACATTAGAAACTATTGTACCGTCTTCGTCGGTGCGGCAGATCAGGGGCTCGCTCTCAGGGCCTGGCCCAACAGTGAGGGCAGATACGCTGATACGGTACTGGGTCCACTTCTCCAATCGTTGCAGCTCCACCTGCTTTTCAGTAGCAAGGATTATGGGCTCCTCCATGGGCTCCCCGTCGTCACTGCCGCCTTCTGACGGACCCACCACCTGGTAGCGCACCCTATACCCCGCCAGGACACCGTTTTGACTCTCCAAAGGCGGGGGGTGCCAACTTACCAGCAGGCTGGTGGAGCTGGTGCTCCTGCACTTAATGTCTTGAGGGGGGGCTGAGGGCTCTGGTGAGGTGGAAAGGACAGGAAGGAAGGGGGTCGAGGACGAGGAGGAAGGGGAAGGGGGGAAGGTAGGGGTGAAAAACAAAAAAATAAAAAGATGGGAGAGATAAAGAAAATGATAAAAAGGATAAAAAAAAACAATACGAATAATTCAAACAAAAAATTGCAAAACAAAGACGGAGGCAAAATATGTTTAAAATAAAAATAAAATCATCAAGCAAATGTCAACATAAGAGGCATAAATGGACAATGGCACAAGCTTGTGTAATAATGAATCAAGATGGGTACCCTTGTGAGATACCTGGTGCTGGATACGCAGACTTATTTGGTTCTGGAAGTTTAATGGTGTTTTATGTATTACACCTACTGACGAAACTATGATAGCAAAGTCTGACTTTTTTAAGATTTTATGATCTCCAGCCCTATTTAAAACATAAGAAAATGAGTTTGTTCTGTAATGTATTACAATACAGAAAGTGGGACACTGTCTTGCTCATGTCATCCTTGTTAAAGGACCAGTCGGTTGGATTTAGTGACATCCAGCAGTTTGCAGGTTGCAGCCAACTGAAACCCCTTGACTCAACCAAGTGTGATAAGAAACTATGGTGGCCACGAAACTCGCAGGAAACATGAAAGGCCCTATTAAGAGCCAGTGTTTGTTTTGTGTGTTCTGGGCTACTGTAGAAAGATGGTGGTTTAACATGGCAGCCCCAATGGAAAAGGATAAAAACGGCAAATTTTAAAGGTAATATTATATATATTCTATTTGCGCTAATAGATCTCCTTAAATGTTAACTGGATCTTTAAAGCTTTTACCCAACATTATAAGCCTAAGATACTTTGTTATCCACAATCATGATGTGATTGTGCATTATATTTTGGGGGACTGAGCTGAGGCTTTATTCCTTAACGACTAAAAACTTGCAAACAGGTAAACCTGGCAGTTGTGAGCACTAAAGCCCTAATTTTCCCCTTCAGGGTCTTGCAATTATTGCAACCACTAAATCACTTGGCTGCCCTCATGAGGATTAATAACATACTGTCATTTCCATAAAGACAGCATAAAAATAAGATGATTATAGTTAGAATATGTTTAGTGTTAATGTGCATTTTTAATTCACTGATAAACATTTCTGACAGCCTTTTTTTGTCTTGGGTAGCAAATAGCACCCATCTAACCTTGAACGATGATTAACCAATCCACTGAAAAGGATTTGTAATTTCTGTACCAGAACTTTCAGCCAAATTAGCATAAGCTACAACAAGCTATTTTTTCCCAAAGTATAAGCTAGCAGGGAGGTAGTGTAGTCTGTCCTTTTTAATTTGTAACAGTATAAAAGCTTTCCAACATGGTGGCTGTTATTTGTGTCTGAAGTGTTCTTCCAAAACATATTAAAACCTACACATCTGTGAACTTTCTAAATCAAATTCAATGCCTCTCGCTTCTAATCTGTGCCAAGCTCTTACACAGCTTGTGCTCGTCCAGAGAGTGTGCTGTGCAAGGAGTGATAAAACGTTTCACTTCTCATCCAGAGTTTGGTATTATATGGATAAAAGGACATGTATGAAAATATTTCTATCCAAGTCGGGTTTCCTCTATCTCCTACAATGGTTTTGTGTGAGAATATATTCCCTCCATCTTGGTGTGACAAACCCAGTTCATTATTACATTTTGTCTGTTATGTAAGGTAAAAATAGCACAACAATCAAAAGCAAAATGAAGTACCATCAGAAAAAAAGGCATTCCACACACAGAAACTCAGGAAAAGAACTCAAATAACAAGCAGGATGCTCTCGTTCCAAAACAAAGGCTGAAGAAATAAATTATGAACTGAAGGAGGGTACTGGGAAATGAATTTCTCTGTAACCCAGGTGACTCGAAAGAAAGAACCACAACAACAGTTAAGGTTCAAAATGACAACTCATGAGAAAACATGAAAAAAAAAGAATACTCGGCATAAACAAAAAAATAAGAACATTTAACTTCTAAAAAAAACCATAAACCAAGAAAAAGAAATCACAAGCATTGTTTGCATCATACGTACCTGACTCCCACAAATACTAAATTTTAAAGACTTTCTTACCACCAGCACCTGACTACAGAGCGTGCTTACTCTGTAGTCAGTGAACTGCAACACTCTCCCTCTCAGAGAGCATGCCAGAAATTTTGACATCCATCCCCATTTTTGAATCAGTAAATAACACCTTTTTTGACCAATCTTAACCCATTACGAGTTAGTTTTGGACCCCTTTTTCGGTTACTGTGAGGGAGAGAGTTGGCTCTGTGCTGTAGCCAGGGCTGGTTAATACTGTATTCTTTGGGCCGGAGGGTCCACAAGACTGTGAGAGGGGAAGCCATAGGGGGAACACTCACTCCCAGGAATATTCTCCTCTCCTGCACTTGGCCATGTACACACACATCCATCCTTGTTAACAATTAGTTCAAATAAATCCCATTTCATAGCCCTGCACCTTTGTATCGTTATAAAACTTACTGTCATTTTGAGATTGCCAAGACACAAGAATAGAGGAAGCAAGACGAAAAGCTTGTATTGCTGAATTCATAAAAGTTTAATGACAGTGTTCTGACTGCAGTGTCACTTTGGGTAACAGCTTAAAAAAAGGAAAATAAAAAACAGTGGTTTTAACAGAAAGGCCTACTCCCAGTGAAGACTGAATGTTCCAGCACAGAACAAATGGGACAGGACCTCAGCCACAGTTCCCAAACCCTTCTCTGTGTCCAATGGGCTTATTTACTTACGGTCTTACTGGATTTTGAGCCTTTCAGCTTCTTTCCTCCACTCATATTGTATTTGCAAACTCTCCACATCAAGAATGATTGCTCAGTTTTCAATCTTTGTGGTGTGGAAAAGGCTGTGAATCTGACAGGGGCCAGGCTATCACAGTGCACAGGCATCCTCAAGCCTGATAAAGGTTTAAGACTGGCCGGGGCACAGCTTTAATAAAGTGCATATCCCATGAAGGCCAGTGGCAGGATTATGGATAGTAGAACTATACAACAACAAAAGAAGGAACTCAGCTAATGCTTCTCTTGAGGTTCTTTTGAAGCTTCCCTGAAAGAGTTTCCTAAACACTATTTGACAAATAATTAGTCATGTCTGCATTCATATCCTTCTCTTTCACTTTTAAGTCTGTTGTGATATGACTAAGAGCTCTGGGTATAAAGTCTGCAATGTCAAGTACTGGTGGCATACCTAATCATTATGACTACCTTCAGATTAAATTTGCTTTTAGTGCAATATTTTCAGTGGGTATAAATTACACACATTAATGCTAACAGTTTAGCTACACAGGCCAGTACTCAATGCGTGTCAACTCTTTAAATGACATAGATTTTGCTTTTGCTATCAGAGTATAAGCACATGTCGGAATTTGAATTGTATTTTCATCAGAAGCCTCGAATGACATTATGTTCATATTTGTAGATCATTATGGAATTAATCCCCCTTGATGCCAAATGGCCGTGCTGTGGCTCACACAAATATTCCAATATATCTAAAAACCTCCTGCAATTACAGTAAGTGGGGGGGCTAAACTGCTTGTTTAGCTAAATACAGAGGATTTAGAATCTGCCACTTTAATTTGAGAGATAGCACTTGACTGGCTACTGGCAGGTTCTAGGTATAATCTAAATGTGTAACAAAGCCTGACAATCCAGGGGCCTGGCTCATGGCTCATCGCAAAGCATGAAATTAATTCTGACGCTATGAAATGGGATTCTTATCTGCCATTCTGGGGCCCTGAAGTCCCCTAACACCCACTCCCAGGGTCCGTCTTAGGTCCTGTTAGCATGCCTTGAAACAGCTAGAGGGATGCTGGGAGCCCTCCCAGCTCTCGGGTTGTGGACCCACTCCGGCCACGTCTGAACGGTCTCACAAAAATGGTCTATCAACCTGGTCTGACTATGGCAGCATACCCTAAGAGGCCTTGCTTCTGAATGGGGACTACTGTTGCCAGTAACATCTCGTGTATTTATTTCACCCTGCTCTAATATTGACAAAGAGAAGCCAATGAAACAATTTTGGTGTTCTCTGATTTGGCGTCACTCATGCTGGAGTAAATAAGGACTGAGATTTCCATTTTTCTGCAGTGACTTTACGAGTTCTTGACAAAGTGGTCCCCATGACAATAGCCCCTGGTAATGCTGCTTGGACTGAGAACAAACTTCAACAATCTGAGAACATTTTGTACCACAGATAATGGACAACAAAGCAAACAGGGAAATCATGTTGTCTGTCTTTCTTTGTACTTAGTGGAAAAGGGTTTCAGTCTGCCAGACAACGCTTTGGGTTCAAATCCAGGTGGAAATGCTTCTGTAGGGCTGTAAGCAGAGCATGGAACTAACAATGCCAAAAGTCAATGAAGCAATATTTAAACTGTATGTATCATCGCTCTGTAATGTGCTTTGGATAAAAGAGTCCAGCTGGCACATGTACATTTTTATTTTTTTGCCACTGTATATTTCTTTTTCTTTTGTCTTTCATTTTGGTGGAGGCTTCCGTAACATGTCATTAATATAACTGAGTATGAACAGCTACTGTATGTGGCTCATTATAGTGTAGTGTAGACTATTTTTCTGTACTGCATATGTGGGGGGCATGTCTTAGTGTGTGTGTGAGTGTGTGCCACATCCATAGTGAATGTATAGTACTTGGGAGTCTGGCACAAACAGGATTTTTAGTTTGTGTGAAACTGCACAAAAGCCTGCAATCAGTAGTCATCTAACAATTGTGCCAGTTTATTTCCCTTCCCAAAAGGCTGGCAGTTTTAACTATCTACACTGCGCTAAGAAGGCACTTAATACAAGCTATATATGTCACAAGGCTCTTCACTGACTTGGATTCACAGAGATGCTGCTATTCCTGGCCGGTACGAGGAGCCAAACTGCATACATGTCAGTTTAATATTTACCGTGTCATGTATAAAGACTGCTTACTTTATCCTTCCGACTCTATGTTGGTGTTTCAGAAAAAATTGCAAAAAACTGGATGAATGTTAATTGGATGAATACGTGAATGTCTCTGACAGGTCTTTGAGAAGGTTATGGCAGACTGAATCCCTAAACCACATAATCACTTACCTCAAAGCATCCAAAAGATCAAGTTATTTATTGTGTTGTGTTGTGTTGTGGGGAATCTTTTGCTTTCTCTGACTTAGTCTGTGATTTTTCTAACCTCAGCAGTGAGAAATTAATGGATGTATCTCACACTTGCTTGAGCAGGGACTCTTTATAAAAGCATGAAAAAAATACATTGGCTGAGAACGACTGGTAACAATGAGGCCTATGGTGAAACCATAGAAATAGAATGGATAGAAAAGGTAAAGATGACGGTTGACCTTGAAATGACAGCCAAAGAGTATTTGATAACCATGTCATGGAAATGAGCACTTATGTGGGACACAATATTAACAAAGTTTCCCTACTGCTCAAAATATAAATTGACACTAATTTCCAGGTCAGTAGTATCAAATTTCTGTGGTGGGCAGGCAGATCCCATCATCAACCAACTGTTATCCTTTCTATCCACTGTAATTGTATGGCTGAGGCAGCTGAAAGGAAGAGTCCCTTGTCTTAAGCAGAGACTTGAGAAAAGCCATCATTTACACTTATTCACCCCCGTATTTGCTCAACGGGAAGGGGTCAGTGCTGTCTGTACGTGCTGCTCTGCTTGCTGCGCTGTAGATGCTTGTGGCTGTGGTGGAACCCAACAGAAAGAAGAAAATAGCAACAAGCTACTGTTTGGAGTGATGATAAACCAATATTATTTTGGATAACCCAGAAAGTGTTAGAAATTAATAAATAAATAAAAATCTAACTCAAAACTTTTTTTCAAAAGACTGAACATAAAAGGAAGAGGACACAAAGTGAGCAAGGAGATGTCAAGCCATTCCAAGGAGAGCTTTTGTTTCATTGCACAAGGGAACAAGTGGCAAAGAGAGAAACAGAGCTGGAGTAGGGTGATGTAACAGGAAGAGAGGAGTGTATCCAATCCAATCAGCTTGCAGTTTACCGGTCAAGAACAAATGCAAAAACAGAGGTAAGGAAATCACAAACACACATCGACAGGTGAAGATGTGCACAGACACTCGAGAGACGCCAAGACAGAAATGGCACTGGATGAACATAAAGTATTTTCATGCCTGGACTGATCAAAGATCAATGGTGCAGTTCTCAACAGCACCCCCAGTGGACAGGAGTGAATGTTGCATGCAACTGGCGCTCTCCTCAGTGACTCTGCACTGTCTGTGTAGCTCTGCTGCCCAGGCAGTAACAAAAAGAACTGTGAAGTGGTTGTTCCAAAGCCCCCACAGCCCAGATGTGGGGGGTACAGCCAACAAGTTGCACTAGTAGAAACAGAAAATGTGTTAAAAGATGTCTACTCTCACCGCCATGGCTCTCCTATGTCCCAGTAATAGTCCTCTGGTTTAAACCTCATAGCTTCAATCAAGCCAGTTTATTAACAAAAAGGTGGCCACTCGGTAAATGAATGTATACATGTACATGTATATATTCTGTATCATCAGAGACCACAATGAGTAGCTCAGATCTCCTAATGTCGAAAACCGAGCTATATTGTCAAAATTCTTTACCATACATGTATTAAATGTCAATACACAACATCATTGTTAATCTTTTTGTGCTGTGTAAATCCAAAACACATGAATTTCATAGCCTTGACCATCCTGTCATCCCAGACCTACTAGGACTGGATATTTGATTGGATAAGCTGTATGTATTTTCTTTCTCTACAGCTTGCATTACAGTGAGCTATGATATCACTTCTGTTATTTTTAGCTGGTTGGTTTAAATAATTTAGTTGTGTTCCTGCCATCTGTAAAATAAAATAATCAGTGCAGAACTGATACTGGAATAAATTTAGGGGGTGGGGATGTGAGTACTTTTAGTTACTGCTGATTGTTTTTCTTTGATGACTAAACTCAACCACAAAGTTCCCGTCCCCAATCTCAATACAGTTCATATGAGAGCCTTGGCGGTTGTAGAGGAGAACTGACATTTTTTGTGTCTCTGTCACGTGAGAGAAAGTGCACTTGCTGTTGACAAAGGAAAAGTAAATATGAACAAAAGTGAAAGGGAAATAAAGAAACTCCCCAAATTGTCGGTCCATGTAGGCTAGATTTGTTTGACAGTGTTGGGTACACTCACACATATTTGGCACCAGAGCCAAGTAAGGAAATAAGGTCATTCTAAAATAAAATGGTTGTAAAACACTCTGCCTAAAAAAAACTCGTCAAAACACACCAGTCATAGTGCAAATGTCACTGTAGGCAGAAAATACCAAAGTCACATTGTTATATTGAGGTCAACAAAATCAAGCAAAAAATTAAAAAAATCTAACCACATATTTTAGGAAGAATTCAACAACACATGAGTTAAGTCAGTTTGTTATGTAGTTCATCATTTCTGAATCAGCTTTGAACCCTGATTATGTCTAAGATAAACACAGTCATAGTTCAAAGGTGATGATGCAGACAACAGAGAAAATGAAGTTTTCAAGTTTCAGTTCAACCTTATTAGAATTCATTTGAGTAAAGGCATAAAATCATTTAACTGCTTTACTGAGGAAAATCCCTTTGTTATCCAACCCACAAAGAGAACAGGAGGGAAGACTGAATTAAAGGCTACATACTGGCTTGCAAGGTCCTCTCTGATATGTCATTGGTGAAGGCTCCGATGCCTTTGTTAGAGATGGCTGCCAGGGAGAAGTGGTACTCTGTGTTTGGACGGAGACCTTCCACAACATAGGAAGATGCAGGTGCAAATGTTTTCTTCATCTGTTGAAAGAGAGTAAAGTTATCTGATTTAAAAAGGTTGTACAAAAATCGAATGTTGGATCATTAGTAGATGATGTACATTTCTCAGTGCAATAGGGAACTTAGATACGAAATGAAACACTGAAATTCTTGCCTGGGTGCCCAAATTGCGGTCCATGTAGCGAAGTTCATAATTTATAATGCCTTCTTTCTCATAGGCAGGTTCCCAGGTCAGTTCAATGCTGGTGTCAGACACAGCACCAACCTGGAATTTGGATGGCTGACCTGGAACTGAAGGACACGGCAGAGGACACTGTTATAGGACATGTTACTAGAAATTAGTAAAGACATGGACATTACTACTATACACATTGGAGGAGTACCATCGTATTACCATTGGAAAAAAAAATCTTAAGAATGTGTTAGTGGAGTTATTTTTCCTGTTCAGTGATTTCTTAATAAAATAACATATTTGTCATAGTATTTCCCACTAACATCATGAGCATAATGAGATTTGGCATAAAATGACCAAGGATTAGGGGGGATTAAATTAAGAGGAAGAGATTGTTGTGAAGTACAAAAATTTGTGCCCCAGTGACAATCAGGGTCCAGTTGTGTTCTACTTTCTACTTTGTGGGGTCTCTAAAGTTGGACATGCTTCCTTGCCCTAGCATGGATGGAGTGATTTCGCTTGGCTCTGAAGCTGATCCTGGTGAGTTCTCAGATGTTGGTTCTTTCTCAAATTTGGCAGTTTTTTTTGGACTGCCATGATCAAACAGACTTTTGTCATCATTTGCAGAGTCTGCAGATGTGTGGGTGAACCTTGCACAGCAGGGGAGAAAACTTGTCTCTTTGGTAGCAGGCACAGTCTGTTTAAAGTTTCAGAAAATGTGCTGCTGATGCATAAAAACAGCTGAAGACGTTCTTCATTGGTTGTCAAAGTTTTCCTTGTTTTTCTTTCTTAACCGAAAGGCTTTAGAACAGGTGTAGCATGGACCGTATTTCTGCTTTATTTTAAACTCACTTAGCAACTTGATTTCAACAATATTTGAACATTACATAGGTTCCTACTGTATGCAGAATTGAAGAATGTGACATTCAATAAAAGCAGTGGACGAAAGGAATATTTCAAAACTTTAACACCAATAACCAAGTTGACAACATCAGTTTTTATATCCTTACCTCCTTGCAGTACTTTGACATGGATGGGCTCTGAGAAGGGTCCATCTCCTACAGAAGTGAATGCTAGGACTTTGATTGTGTATGTCTCTTGAGGAACCAGGCTCTGGATAGTTGTGATGATGCTGTCCTGGACATTATGGATCTGCCAGACGCTCATTGGCAGGGAGTCATCCATGGTGTAATAAACACGGTAGCCCTTGATCTGTCCGTTGGGCTCCTCCGGCTCTTCCCAGCGTACCATCATGGTGTTTTGAGAGATGATCTGGGCCTGGATGTTTCGTGGTGGACTGGCAGGGGCCTGTTCACCAGTCCGGGTTTCTACTGGCTCACTGGGAGGACCCTGGCCGATTGTGTTGACAGCTGAGACACGGATTTCATACTCTGTGTTGGGGTAGAGGCCACCAATGCTGTAACGTGTAGTGGTGATGTCATCCACTGTCTCATATTTGCTGTCTGGAGACTTGGCCCTATACTGGATGATATAGTAAGTCACAGGGTCTGGGTTGCCTGAGTCCCAGGTGATGGTCACACTGGTGGCAGTGGTTTCAGTAACCACAGGGGTACCTGGGGGCTTGGGGAGAGCTGTTATGGTGACAAAACAGGGAGGAAAGAGGAAACAGTCATTTATCATCATAGTGACTGATTGAAGAACAAGAAGCAGAAAAGGAAAAAACCTGGACATTTCTTCACAATGCCCCAAGAACATTATAGCTAAACACACTGCAACTGCAAATTTTCTGCAGATTTCCGACCTAACTGATGTTAATCTTCTTCATAAGTACCCTTCTTCACAAGCACAGTTATCTCTTACATTTGACAGTGATCTGCGCCACAGCTTCAATGATGCCAAGGCTGCTCATGGCCACGCAGGTGTAGTTGGCTGACTCACGAACACTACTCAGTTCGAGAACGTTCCTGCCCACTGGCATCTCATCCTCCGGTGTCAAATCCTCTGAGTTCAGCATCCACTTGACGTAAGGCATGGGCGACCCCACTGCCACACATGTTATGTTCACACTGCCACCGGGCATGATTTCCTGACTCGTTGGTGGAATCGAGAAGCGAGGAGGCACCCGCCGGACTGGGAGAAGGCATGAGGAAGGGGAGAGGATGACAAAAGAGGGCAAGGGAGTCAAAAAAAAGAGAAAAAGAGAGGTAACAAGAGAGGCAGATGAAAATGGACCCTTCTCAAGGAAATAATTTACACAAAAGGTTCAACATGTTAAATGTGAACTGAAACACAATATAAAAGAAGTAGACTTTTCAAAACATAAAAATATACAAATAATGAGAAGGAACTAAACTAACAGAACTGCTTCAACAACAATGTAGATTAACAATAAAGCAACGATTCATAGCAACAAGGTTCCATTGACCAATATTTGACCCATCACAGCACAATTAAAGACACAAAAATCTATTACGAGTTTCTCATCTTTGGAACTGAGCTGCTGACATATATACGACTACGACATAACCTGATCACCAAGTATGAAGGTGTGTAGTAAAGGCCATGTGATAATGCTATCACATAAGGCCAACATGGCAACCTGGAACTTCCTGTCCTCTCAGGCACTCATGCCAAACAGGAAGTAGGCCATTACAGGCTTCTCCCACAGTACAGGAAGTGTAGGGTTACTGGGCTATTGACCATCTCTACAAGGTCTCTAAACACAATCTAGCATAGGTTTGCACTTAACACCTGTCTCTTCTGCCTAGATATCTTAAAGATGAGAAACTTTAATCAGATTTTTGTGGTTTAGGGTAGATCCACTGGACAAAGCCTTATTAAGATCTGACACGGTTCCATTGATAGATGCAGCTATCAGTTTCACAGACAGCATGCATAAATAGACCGAAGTAAATTAAGGAGTAAATGATAACAAAATCAGATATAAAAATTGAGATAAAATGCATAGAGGAATATAACTGAAGGGTCGCTAGCATGCCCAGACAAAAGACGATTGGAGAGGAAAGATAGAAATACAAGATAGAGGATAAAGCATCTGAGGAGAGGATAGAAAGAAAGGGAACAGAGGAGCAGAGTGACAGAGGAAGAAAAAGAGAGGGGAAGGTTTGGAGGAGGGTGAAGGGGGGGTAACCCGCTTCAGTGCAGTGTAAACTTTGTTTTTCTCCAGCAAATGTGATAAAATGTGATGGTGGCACATTGTCACATCGCAGTCCCAGTTAACACAAAATAAGTATTGAGGAACAAGGTGTGTGCCTAGAAATACATAGAAAAAGATCTATAGTAGTTGTAGCTAGAGAGTCTACTATCACAGAGTGTTGGAGTCAAGAAACAGAACTGGATCAACAGGGAGTAGAAATCCAGAGAACGAGAACGAGAGACAGAGAGAAAGTGAAAGATAGGGGTAGATGAATAGGGGCAGAATGACAGCTAAGAGAGGGAGACAGGGAGGAGCTCAAAACTCATGGATAGGAGTTGAGTGGAAGGAGGTTGATAATGAGTCTGAGGTGCAGAGGAAGGGTGCGAAAGGTACTGTGTATTTGCATGTGTGTATGTGTATATACATAGATGTATATAATTATATCTTGCGTTGGTATAGGTATGAGTGTGCGTGTGTACAGTATGCAAGAGTTAGAGAGTGAAAGAATATGAGTTAGCAAAAACACTGTGTTCATGAGAGGCATCCCAGCAAGCACTTGACAAGTAATGTCATGCAAGAGGTGGCCTAGTGCAACACTAAATAAGCACAAAATGGTATATAATGCAGGGTTTTCCTTTCTTATAAAACTAAAGTAAGCACATTAGTATGTGTTCTGGCTGCCTACAAGCTGAGTTGGAGAATTGCCTATATCGCTATTTGGTTGAACTTCCTTCATACATAATCAGACTGATGGAAAACCCTCTTGTGGTACATTAAAAAGTGAACATTAAGACTGAACAAAAAACTTCACCAAAAATACACAGGCAACAACTATGGGCTACTACAGAGGTCTATAACTTTCATGTTTCACTTTTCAACATATTTTCAGATGCAAACCAAAGTATCTACATCTATTTAAGGTCAAAATGTTTGTTGGGATGCAAAGAAGGTCAAAGAGAGAGAAGCAAAGTATTGCAGATGTTGAAGTAAAAAATGATGAACTAAATGGAAGAGCTGACTTAGAGACAGACAGATAGACAAGACAGGAAAGACAGGGACGAGAGACAAGACACGAGGCAGAACAAAACAGACTCAAGCAGCAAGACAGCAGACAAGAAGACAGACAGAGGGAGACGGGCAGACAGACAGTGACGGATGGGCACGCAGACATACTGTACAGTACGCAAGGAGGTAGGAGAGGGGGGGTTGGGTTGTCGGAGAAAGGGAAGGAGGAGGAGGAGGAAGGTATAAGTGGGGGATAGAATAAGGAGACTGTGATTCTAAATCAAAACAAAATAAAAAAAGACCATGGCTCAAAGTGGGTTTGGAGGTCTCACACACTGGGGCTTAAAATCAAGAACAAACTACACCTCCCCTCCTCCCCGCCTTTAACATTGCACCTCAATGCAAATGTAACTTGGGAAGTCTTGGGGTGGGTGTATGTGAGGTGTGTGTCGGGTGGTGGGGGGGACTGAGGGGGAGATTCAGGGGGCGGGGGGTGGGGTGAGGCGGGGCATCAAGGATAGGTAGCATTCCAAAATACGCCGTGTCGATCCAAATGGGATTCATATGATCGTTGCATGGGACAGTTTGACTTTATCCAACAAATTAAGGCCACAAATATCACTTTCACACACGAGGGAATTTTTACCAAAGAACTGACATTTACTGACCTGAGGACCAAAGTAATCACTAAAATAAACATACAGTATGTTCACGTGTAATCTGTAGGGGCCAAGTATGCTAATAAATAAAAGCAAGCTACCACTATGTGCAAAATCCGAATGGTAAAGACAAATCTACTGTTACTGGCTTTTAACAGCCATGTCATATTTAGTAATAAAAAACGCAGCATTCTGCTTTATGTGTAAAGATTTATAAAACATTAATAGTCAACTGTAGTTAGAGGCTGAATCTAACGTGGATGGAGACCTTCGGCAGCCACAGTTGGGTTTTTGATTTATCCTCTTCTGTGCTACTGTATATGCATCCTCTCTGTCCTGTAATTCACTGTCAATGTCAATTACGTTACTACCTTGGACGAGACACGACCTGACCTCTAAAGCAAAAAGTTCATCACTGACCTTTGAGGAAATGCTCTTTTGTGGTACTCCAAAATCACAAACTGATTTGGCATAAAATGTACCAAGAAAAAATGAACAATAGCAGATTCAAAGAGTATTCTGTCCTTTAAAAAAAATCTTCATAGGTTACATTTTAAGTAATCATTAGAATCAAATAACTCTATAAAAAATCTGAAAAAATGAAATTAAACAATGGGGTGCATAACCTTTTGGTTAAGATATCATGCCCTGTCCATTATGTATAATTGGATAATTAGGAAGTCCAAAGGAGAGATATTCAAAAAATCATGGCAAAAAGCCCATCATATAGGGAGAGAAAATATATATATCTGCATTCTAATTTGTCAAAAAAATGCCTAACGAAACAACAAAGGTGAAAGGGCAGCCCATTCCTCACACGGACATGCATGGGTGTGGCTATGGCATGAGTGACATATACAGGTGCGCCCCCATCCACTTGGGCAGACACCAGGGAACCAATACAATCCAAAAATGTCACCCAAGCCCATCCAAGCATGCCGTTCATTCCCAAATATAGCATTGTTCCAGACACACACACGCACAAAATCAAATAAAAGAAAACAAATGAAACTGAACAAATCCACAAAAAGAACTAAGTCCGAACAGCATAGACAGTACCAGAGTGCAGCTGTGTTCAACAAAGAGGTATGCATCAATACTATTAGATGTTTTTCAGCTATGATTTGTCTCTGGTTGAATTTTGCCTCCAATCCAAAAGAATGTTGAAAACTGAACTAAACAGGGTCTGTTTTTAGGGGAAATGTCCAATCAAAGTGTGTCTTATGGTGCACTTCTCTCCCTGGGGCTCAGGTCAGCCAATGGACCGGGAGCTGTAGTGGCTGAGTGAATGAGGTTTCCCCACAGGAAGATGTCTCTGTTCACCTTTGAGTACCTACACTGTCAGGACAATGTGGGAACTAACACCAGCCACCTGCCAAATGCTGGTAACGTTTGGCTATGGCTGCTCAGTGAAATTTGAAATACACAAATCACTGAGCCAATACACAAAACTTGCTTAAAGGCTCCATGGCACTGGGGCACTCTAGAATGAAGGACAGGTAATCAAACTACAATCTGGAAAACACGTATGATGGAAAGCTGAGGGAGCGTCTACCTGTCAACAGCATGCACAGTTTGTCTGACATAAATACATTCCTTTGGTTACAACATAAGATCAAGAGCTCAAGGTCAGTTGATACTGCTGCATTTTACACTATATCTTGGGAGAGAAAATAAATCTTAAAACCCAGTAGGCCCATTGGGACAACATTAACTGTGTGTCTAAATGTCAGTATCACATGTAAATGAGTCTCTGCAATATCATTATCTAGACACAGGCCTGTAAGAAATGACTGAATGTTCAAATGGACTATGTAACGCTGACATGCCAGTGGCTCACTAAACTCTCAAAAGCTGTGTGTGGCACATGTGCTAAACTACTTTTAAAATGCAGTGCCAGTGAAACAAAGAAAATCAAGAATCCCAATTGCATGGACAGGCTCCTCATTCACAGAGACCAGAAGCCCAGCCGGCCCATTTGGAATTGATAGAAAATAAAACAAACATATGCCTTTTATTTGGACTACTAACAACATATAATCTTGTTTCAAGCCCCAATGTGGAGAGAAAGACAAGAAGCCTTACAGTGGACGAGGTGAAAAGCAGTCGAGAGAGAACGCCAGAGTACTGCACTAACTCTAATAGTGGGCGGTGTTGTGGAGGGATTTGTGCCAAAAAACAGAGGTCAGAAGGTGGACATTATCGGCCATTTTGGTGAGGCAGTTTTTGCTGCCCCAAAATGAAGGGGGAAGCCAAAATAATGTGCAGCCTTTAGTGTCACCTTGAAGCTGAGATTACACCCTCTTGCTGCCTGAGGACACAGGCGCAGTATGGAGATCCTTTAGTCACACTTGCTGGGTGAGGCCTACAGCATTTACATATAAGCTGCAGGGGTCGGCCTGTATTAACATACCTTGGCTGCGCCAATGCTAAACAGTCACTATCGGTGGCTCATCAAAATGGAAATTATTACCTAAAGGAAACTGACAGGAATCATGGCAGGGGTATCTAATAATAGAAAGCAGTGGATTGAGGGGATTTCAGAGTGTCACTTCTTCCTATTGACTTACAGGTACATGACAAGCAGCCAAATGATACTGCAAGTACGTCCCCTCACTGTGGTGATCCCCTCAGTAAATATTATTAGTCGGATTAAGAAAGGGACAGTATTCATATATTTGCAATCGAATATGAAGTAAAAATTTGGTTTTGTATGAAAAATAAATGCAATGCATGTTTTTGAAGGGTGGCTATTAACTTCAGGACTCCTTGAGACAAACATCTAATAGAGATGGCAGGATTTTGCTTTGGCCAGTGAGAACATAAGGTGTAATCTAGCTTTCTTTCCCAACGTTACACACAAATGCATAGCAGGACATGCAAGCACATTCAAAATCAGGCAGATACCATTGTAGGAGGGCAAACGTGCACATGCGTACATCACAGCGCAGTCTTTCTGCATCACTGTTATTCTCAGGATTTATAATAAGATTTAAAGACCAAATGGAGACGTCAGGTTTTCATTATTCTCCGTTTCTTACAGTGGGACTGTGCCATTCTTTGTGGATACTATTATGTGGATGGCAGCAATGTCAGATTATTGACAGGTGGCGTTCACAGAGTCAACTGTTACAATTACTGATAGTAAGTCTTTTCATTGCCAATTGGTGCAAAGAGGTGTTGGAAATGAAACCCTCATTTGTGAGATAACTGCTAGATCAGAAGGGATGATTATATATATTTGTCTAATTATGTGCCTTAAGAAATAAACAATGTGGCTGGTGCAATGGAAAGAAATGGCATGTGGTAGACTGGGACCAAAAATATATAAAAAAATATATCAGCATTTTCTCAAAGGAGACACTGGCTGACATTGAATATTTTTGAGAGGGTTTGTCTTACTAATATTTTGGGGCTTAGTGTGGCTCATATAAACTCTTGACAAGCAAAAAGACAGTTATTCACAAATGTCAAAAAACCAAAAACAATTCAAATTTTCTTGCTGGCTAGCACATACGCACTTGGCAGATAAATAGCAATTGTCATTGTACCCTAATATGTTCATGCTCCAAAATTGCCAACAGCAGAATAATCCAACAGATTCCAGGGTAAAATTTGGTGCAGGGTCTTGTCGAGAAAAACATATGTACACCTATGGATGAGTAAAGGTTGCCAAAGCATGTAAATTTGTTTGCTGTTGAAATAGTAGTCATTTTCCATATGACTTCCAGATACATTACAGAGATCAGTCTAATCTACCTGAGATCAGCACACTTCAAATACAAATACTTCCACTTTCAGAGGAGACTGATATGGACTGAAGTGTGTTATCTCTTTTAAACTGAATACATGATATGCCTGATCTACACAGACACGTTGAGCCAAATGTAATAGCCCTAGCCAAAAATTGTGGTTCCTTTCCAAAAAAATGTATCTTGTGCAAGCTCACTGCACCACCAGGTGACGTGAGATTCAATATAGATCTGATTCAGTTGGATATGTCTTGAAAATCCTGGTGCTGATGCTGTATCTGGAACATCTTAAGAGATGAAGGGAAGTTGGTACAAAGCCAATTGCAATATAAATCAGTAGACACTGCTTGCATTGATCTCCAATTCATTTAGCACTTTTTCCTCATTATTGCTGTAGGACTACAGCTGGATGCTTCAAAAAAATAAATTACTGTGTGTCTTGGTGTAGTCCAGTTTGAGAATCTTCATTACTTTAGTCACATCAACATGAAAATCAATTCTATTCTATGAGTGTGTGTTTGTGTACAAGGGATGAAGGGCTTTTGAATAATAAATTATAATTTGATTGAGTGTCATGACTGCGAGGGTACACAAACAGCAGTCACTCAACAAAACCAATCACATCTAGCGGCCCGCATTTGAAAATAGAAAGTATCTTTGAGCACCCGCTAAGCAACAGAAAATGTGATGTCGAGGTCATTATATTGTTATTGATCCACACGACACTGTAAATGGCATCCCTTAATGGCTGCCTGAAATCACCATGGAACCCAATCAGGCCCAATCAGGTCTAATTTTTTCAGTAATGGGTCGCTATAAACAAGATGACAGAAACACTGGCTGTATACACACTTATTATTTCATTCTGCATTTGCATTTGCACTCCGAGATTCAACAAGCAGAGCAGCATCATTTTGAAAAAGAAACACAACTCTCACAAACAAATGAACCACAAAAAGACAAACATTTTCAACGTAAAAGTAAGTTCAGGAACAGAACTGAAAAAAATGAAAACACACAAACACAACACCATAATCACAACACAAAAAATAAAAAAAAAATAATAAAGGAAAGCCAAAAAAGGGTTGTATCAGGGTAATCACTTGTAGAGAAACCAAAGAGAAGTAAACAATTGAACAACACACAGGGAATGCAGAAAGAAAAAGATCAACACGGCCAAAGGGATTCTGGACAGGCATGCAAGCGCAGTTACATTCTCCCATCATGCAACAAGTCCTGTTATTTACACGTGCTGGGTTTCCATGACAACACGTGCAAGAAAGCCTTTAAGTGCAGAAGCAGTACCAAAGGATGCAAAACGAGAAAAGGCCCCACAATGCAAACATAAAAGTAAATTAACAAGACCCGAGCTAATCGGGTTTGCTTTCATCATTTCTTCCTTGGAAATAAAGAAACATTTCTTTCATAATCATTTAGCAGTTTGGATTAACTGATTAGTATTTCTTCAAATTTGTAATTAATCGAGCTCTGTAATAGGCAAATACAGCTAAAATTTTTCAACATGTTGAATTTTTTTTTTTCAAATGTGGGTTAAAAAAAGTAAAAAAGAAAAAACACACCAACCTTCTCGAAGCTCTGAGGGATGTAAAGGGGTTGATGCAGAACACAATGACATGAGGAGAAGAGAAAAATAGGGGAAACACAGAGAGAGTAAAAAAAGCCACCTCAAGGTGTTTAGCTGCAGCTACATTTCCCTTTTCTTTAATCTTTGTTTCCTCTTTCCCTTGTCCCTGCTATCAGTGACACCCGTCTTGAAAGTACACTTGCCTGCCCCCCCCCTTAAATAAACTTTGAACCAAAACAATCAGATTCACCCCAGTGGCCACACTGTCGCTTGGTAAGAAAAAAAATAGTGAGGCGCCACTGGAGTCAAATCAAGCGTACCATACTCATAATTCAAAATTTCACAAGCTCCTTATAGCCACAAGAAGAGGCTCCTGTGGTGGCTGTATTTGCTTTTGTTAGAGAAGGAAACCAAATAAAGAGAAAATAAAGAAAAACTAATGAGAGATAGAAAAGAAAAAAAGACACAGTTTGGGCTGAAATTAGCAGCTGCAGTTCAAGACAGTTACAGTAAATATTGTTAGAAGCCAATCACTAGCACTGTCATTATGGTTTCTCTTTGGGTAGTAGTCTTAATTTGCCCAGCTACGCCCCAGATAAAATTTAGGATTGTTATTTTGTTTTGTTTTTTAATGAAAATTGATCCCTACCACAGCTGCTAATCTCGAGTGCATTTCGCTTTGTGAACAAAACATAGTCAACATCAAGTATCAGAATTGATTGACAAAAGTTAACTGAAAACAGACAAAGGTTGACACCATCAAGGCATAACAAGTGTGTTACATAGTGTGAAAGTACCTGAGTAATTATGACCCTTGTGTAGTCTTTTAAAAGCATGCTGATGGAGCCAGTGTTCATGGAGATTGCATGAATTGTTGGAAATGATATCAGGGTATAGCTGCGTGTTTTTGACCAAAGGAACTACTAAACAGTCCAGTGCTGTGTCAACAAAATGTTCCCATTATTATTATTTAAATATTCCTGTGACTCCTTGACTGTAATTTTCCATTAACCTTTTCATTTCTACCATGCTGTACATGAACAAGGTGCTTAGCTACTTGCCATTAAGTGCCACTGCATCACAGTGGAGACACCATGAGCCTCCAGGATGAATGATGGCAAGAAGAGACACTAATCTTGATGAACCAATTTTTACCTTCTACTCCTCACGGTTGAATTTTTCTTCCCTACGCTGCTACTTCACAGGGTATGATAATAGCTATAATAATGAAAAAGCAGCTCCCTGACCCATTTTATAATGTCAGACTAGTGAATTATTTATTGGGAACAAAGTTATTTGGTACACAGCAGAGGGAACAAACTGAGTAGATACCGAAGCATCTTTATTTAATATGCACAATATAAATAATACATTTCGAAAATGCATCTGCTTCAATTTATCAAAGCTCCCTCAACAGGGATTCATTGTCATTTAGCATTAGTGGTAGAGGGTAGGCTTTTGTCTTCATTGCCTGTTTCCTATGAAACTCAGTGTTCTCTGTGACTGTTTGTTTTCTTTGCTGGAACATGCCAGCCAAAATTACTACAGACTGTAAAAGGCTTTTTAAAAGATAATACCCTAAAGCAGAAGCAGGGGAATACTATAGATTTATGCTCTGGAACACCATGAAGAAAAAGTAGAGGAAGTGTACTATTTATAACCTATGCGATAGAGCATTTTTTATGTAATACAGAGCAGCTGACTGTGTTAACAGTCCTTTTCTATTAATTCACCACAAGGAAATCCTTTTTTACCCCCAAATCTGTAAAAGGGGGAAGGGGTTGAGATTTTGATTGGTGGGCATTAATACCCTGCCACTCAATCAAAATCAAGACTTACCGTTGTGCTCCTGTACCTGAAAAAAACTAATCAAAAAGAAGTCCTTCCCGACTCTTTTTGGGTTCCATTACTTTGACGGAAGGGGAAACATTTTGTCGGGCACACAATAAGAGGTAAAAGGCGTCTTACAACTGATAAAGTAAAGACATACGGCTTGTTGTGCTACACATTTCCTTCCGAGTGAGTAGGGGAGGGCATTCAAAGACAAAATGGAGCATAACATCATAACAGAGAAGAACATTAGTTGGTCAATTATAGTTTTACATTTGGAAGTTTCAGTGCATATGAAATTACATTTGTGGGCAAGCAATACTATCAATGCTAAAAGATTTATATTACTCGGGTAATACTATTTTGCAAAATACATTTTGTGCAAATACAGCTGGGCTAGAATGGAAGCAATTATCATTTGTTAAGCTCAACAGTAATGCCACTTAAAGCTAAGCGGCACTGTGCAGACATTTTAGTTAGAATGGTTGAATGTTTTTATTTTTTGGCCTGGCTCTGGGGCCGGGTTGCTCCCTACCTCGCACATAAAGGTTAGCAGGGGATGAGTAGCGCACGCCTTCCACATTAGACGCCACGCACTCGTACTTCCCCTGGTCGGTCTCCTCACTGTTCTCGATCTGCAAGGCACCTGGGAAATGAAAACATCCAACAAAGACAAGAAGGGAGGGGGAAGTGAGAGGAAAAAAGAGAGAGAGAGAGAGAGAGAGAGAGAGAGAGAGAGAGAGAGAGAGAGAGAGAGAGAGAGAGAGAGAGAGAAAGCAGGGAGGAAATGATTAGTTGATCTGTCAGTGACAACACATGAAGGTGTCAGACAATCTTCTTAATGGAGGGTATCTTGGATTTCTCAGGACCATTTTGTCAAGAACTGTTTCTCTCTGCAATGCTAATGCATGACAAACTGGGTTCCTCCCCGGCCTCAGCCATCCAAAGATAAAAAGTGGTGGACTAAATCAGTAACACTACATTTTTTGGTTGCTATGTTGGTATATGCAACGAAGACGTGAGATCTCTTAAAAAAACCTGATAAGGACACAGTAATGATGTAAGTGTGATGAAAGGTAATGGAGAACTGTGCTGAAATGGCCCTGTTACCTGAGAGAGATAACAAAATTGTCCTTTGCATAGCACTCACCAAGGGAGCCTTAGTGTGTGGGGTGGGGGGAGAGGGGTCATGGGAAAATAGTTAATGTCCAAATGAACACTGACATGTTGCATAATGCAGCAGCTCACCACTCCTGCAGTGATGATACTTCCCAGAATAAAGACACATCTAGTTATTACATTATATCTTAATAAATAGTGAGAAAGAAATTGAAAATATCTCTGCATGAACTGATATACTGGCTACCATTGTGACTGGGTTGTTTTTAAATCATTTAGATTCTCTTCTATTTGTTATTTGTTGTATACGATTGTATTACCAAGTGATGTATTCCCTCTATTTTGTGCTAAACTCATGTGTATCTCTCCTTTCTATCTTCACTCTTTTCCCCCACACTGTCATATTTTAGGGTGTAAGGGTATGATATATATATGAACCCCTTCGGCTTTATTTATTTCAGACTGTATTTCTTATCTCGTTTTAGATTTTATCTTTTGCATGTGCAAATAAACTCAACCTAAATGCCTGGCAACAACACTGGAGAAGGGGCGTTGGGGATGAAGGAGGGAGTTGAAACAACGAGCGTCAGATCATTCCTCGTTAGAGCGCTGTTGACGGCACTTCCTGATGATATCATTAGGGCTTCTGGCTGGCTCAGCAGACAGATTGCAGCCCAGGCCTCCCTGACAAACATGGCACAATTACTCGTTAGCGTTTAGCCAGGAAGCATCAATACGCCAGCCGCTGCCCGGGATGCTTTGTAATATACCATAACCTACTCCATCACATCAGCAAGCAGAGGGAACACAATGTTGTACAAAGCTACTATTCTGGAACATTGGTCTAATAACGCTTTTCAGCTGTGCCACAAATGAGACCATCGATAGTGCTTAATTATAAAGATTAGTCACGCTTCCACCGTGGCCACGGCCTAATACTCTAAGAGTATTTTACACCTCAGAGTCAGTACAAAGATATCTACTCTTAAAAAAAAGAAAACAGACCTGAAGCTACAACAATCTATACTCTATTTTTTCCATCTCTTCATTTCCCTCTACAGCTCAGATCATCCTCATCCCCTAGAGGGAAGTTCCTGGCACATAGCTCATGAACCAAATGAAAACGTCTACCTGCAGTGTGCAGGTGGTGGAGTCTTCGCTCTGCGTTTATGCAGGGATCTGATTTGGATGTGTTTGATGTGCGCTTGGAACAGCAAATGCCAGCCCGGTGGCAGGTGGGTTGGAATGTGCTCAGAAGCCTAGTGCCTCAACACCACAGAGACCGCAAAGTAAGGACTGTGTGAAGTTCAACTCCAGGTGGACAGTTCCAGAAAGCCCTGCCAGCGGCTCCTCAGCCTTGGTCCCTGTGCTGAATTATAAAATCTTTGGAAGGCTGAAGTTGATGCAAGTTTTTCAATGTTTCATAAATAATAATGCTGAAGGGCTGACGTTGGGACAAAGCCCCTTTTCAGTTGCCTGTTACAAAACAGTTAAATCAGACGAAATGTTCTATATTTCATGTTTTCATTCCATGTGTGCCAACTGCTGAAGGTCCAAAGGTCCAAATTATCCCAACAAATACAAATGTCTTTATCTGAAAATAATATTTTACAAATGTCATCTGAAGGTCAACAAAACACAAGCATCAACATGTGGGTGGGTGACAGATAATGAGCCAAACAAAATTAATTGAGAGCCAATTAAAACCAACATTGGCTGCTGTGAATTGTACCTTCTGGTGAAAGAGAGAGGGAGAGAGTAACAAGGAGAGCAAAAAAGGAGTCTTTGAGGGGATAGAGGGAGTTTCATGTGTTCCTCGCCATCTTTGTTGGAGGTTCCTTGCTAGGTGGTCTATTGTTTCCAAACGCCTAATGGCTTCATGACATATTCTAGCTATTATTTAGTGGAGCTGTGAAGAACACATAAAGATTCCTTTCAGCTGGCAGAACACAGAGAGAAGGCGAAACAAGTGAGGTAAGAAAAAAGTGAGAAAGAAAAAGGCAGGGACGAGAAGCGAGAAGGAGAGATAGGAGGGAGAGACAAAAGAAGCAAGAGACAACAAATGTAGAGGAACACAGAGAGAAAGAAGCAGGAATGGAGGTTTATTCGTATTCATATATCTAATTTCTTACTTTCTGTCTTAAACTTGCCATTCTGTCGCAAAATTGAAGATGAGAAAATAATACATTTGACTCTTGTTAGGAGACATTATTCTTACTTAATGATAATGGTTATGTATTAACGAATAACAACAAAAACTTGTTTAAAATTAGATCTGTGTGAACAAATGTTTGTTGAATGAAACCTAGTGAAAGAGCTGGGGAGAAAGAGAAATCACAACTTCATTCTATTTTGAGTTGTTTTATGCTACTCTCTCCGTCAGATTCACACACTGTGGAGATGCAATATCCTGCTGGTGTTACATGTGTTGTGCCACACTGTATGAGGTGCTCTTCTGTCCATTTTGTCATTTACGCTCTCCTATATCATATGTTTTCTACTAGTCCCAGCCTTGTCTTCTAGTCCCAGCTGGTAATTTAAATGAATCCATCCCATTGATGTTACTAAAGTTCTCTGTAACCATACAATAAATTAATGTTTCTTTCTTTTTTGGTGAGCAAGCAGTCAGTTTTAAAATTGGATTGGATATTAGCATTTAAAGACAACAACCCTCTAAGGGTAGTAGAAATCCAAATTAACCCTCTTGGATGCCCTATCTCCAGCAGCAAAATGTACATGCATGTGTGCTAACAAAACCAACTTCACCCTTTGAAAACCCTTGTCACCAGCATGTGTCTCTTTCCTACCATTTCCTTTTGTCTTTTTAAAAAAATGACTGCACTCTCTGTGTTTTGCATAATTGTGCTCTGTCTACACTGCCAGCCTGTGGCTTACCAGAGTGTGAGTGGCCACTGGCGTTTTGTGCTTTTTTTTTAATCAGGAAAAGAAGAAACACAAGGAATGAAATAAATGCTGAAAATTATCTTTCACAAGCACAATAAAAACCTTGCACCCAGTCTGTTCACACAATGGGCATTTACTGATAAAGACTTGCCTAGCGACAATCAGCACTTTATGGTGCCGCTCACAAAATGGCCGCACTGTGCTTATGAAGTGAGTCCTACATGGGGCCTAATGCTCTAATCTTTCCTGTCTCCAGCTATGAAGTCTTATCACAAACACAACAATTGCAGAAACTACCAGTTTGTTTTGCTTGATTTCATTAGGAAACATGAAAAACTATTGACAAATCTGCTTGCTAAGAGATGGCACGAGGAACAACAAGCATGGCTAGTTAATATTCACAGTTGGACTATGTCAATATGAATATTTTTCACGTAAAATATTACATTTTCTTAATCATATAAAGATTACTATTGCATCTTATTACATTACATTTCAAGTAAAGTATTTAACTTAAACTGCAAGAGTCACCTGTTATTACTGAGCAGGTGCTATTTTACTTGCTACTTAATCCTGTTCAAGGACACCTAAAAAGGACACATGAATGTTGAAGGACATTATGTGAGCTGTTGTGGGAACTGAACCTAAGATCTGATAATGTCCAGGATGGTCCCTCAATCCACTTACAGGCCACACCAACCATCCGTAAACCCCAGGAAGTACCGCCCTGCTGAGCAATAATTCATGTTTTTCTGGGTCAGATGACAAAAGATTGGTGCCATTTATTTTTTTCTTTCTGTCTTGTTCCATGATGTATGCTGCACCATCAAGATCCAAAAGAAGAAGGCTACAATTCAGGCAAATAAAGTCCCTGATTATTTTGCTTTCACCTCCATGTGGACCAATTAGTCTCCATCTCAAAGTGATCCTTCCTTCCCACCAAAACTCACAACCTCCAATCTCCACTGCTACCCACTCTTGGATGTCTTGCAGTATGTTCACTGCCTTTCATTCACTGGCTAAAGAAGTCTGTAATGGGCAGTGGGTCTGGGACATTTGTCCCAGCCGTGACAGCTGCCCTGGTTAACAGTGCTGCATGCCGCAGGCTGATCTGATGAAGAGCGTTGAGGTGCCAAGGTGTGATAACAAAGATGATTGCCTTGGCAGAGTTCAACAAATACATGTTTTTGAAGGCTAATTCAGATTTTGGAACAGACATTTGTGTACCGAAACTGTTTAGAGTATATACTTTGTGCCAGTAGTGTAGCCTATATTAAAATGTCACCATATTCTTGCCAAAATATACAAAGGATTTAGATGTGTCTTGATGTGTCATTTAAACTAAAACAGTTCCTTGTAGGTTTTCAATGGCCTTTCTGTAGCTGTAGACTAGCAGGGAATATCAGAAAATATTAAATGTTTAGTAAAATACCATACTGACAAACCCATATATAGAGCTTGTTTCAGTTTTACTCTTGGTTGTTGTGGCAAAAAAA